CAGCAGAGTTTCTGAATATGCTGGTAACCTTTCCATGCCGTTGTCAGAGTATTGGTGAGGCACGTGGAGATTTCACCCGATATATTGGGTGGTGATTATTTTGAGAAGTGTTTTCAGTTTAATAGTGTGTTTGACGTCAACATGCAAGTCCACACGGAGCCTCCGTGACATCAGTACGTTAACAATGCACTCTGCGCCCCACCAGCTCTGATACGGTTGTACCTATGTATGTACAGTAAACATACGATACATCACACCTCGTTCCTTCATGCTGGCTGATAAGAGTGTTTACTATGCAGGTGAAGGTCTACATATCTCCGTTGATATGCCCAGACCCGACAACACCAGCTATGTGGCCGTCGGGGAGACACAACCGCTGCTTCAGGGCGACAAGATGGCGACCAAGAAGACCTATGAGAAGTCACTGGACGAGTTCTCCGCCTCGGAGCAGCTGCCAGGCAAAACCAAAGTGAAGCTTGGCCCCACCAAAGTGTTTGTGGTCACGTCCATCCTGATCTGCGAGCTGTGTGAGCGACTGACGTACTACAGCATCGTGGCCAACCTCATCCTCTTCTGCACCAGCACCTTGAAGTATAGTAGCCCGGATGCAGCGACCATCAGCCTCGTCTTCTCAGGTCAGTCTTAGGAAACGTTTCGCGGTACATGCATGAAACGGGATGAATGTTTCAAATTTTCATCTTCATTTCATTCGAAAGAGCTTGAAAACAATTTTTTTTTTTTTCTGACTTAAATAACAAAGCTAAAATATACGTTACTTGGGCTACTGAAAGACGTTTAAACGCGTTCAGATGTCCTTGTGCAATAGTAAGCCAAGATGTGAAGTATTGACGCGTTCTACGATTGCTATTCCTTGTTTGAATATTTGACAGAAATGGTTTCAAACGCAATACTGGTTATAGATAATTGCAGTGTTTCTTCTGCACAATGGTCCCTATGTCTGCTACATAACTCTTTCCTCTAGACTGGAGGTACATGAAGCTCGCAATTATTAAATGTCTAGTTTACTAATACCAGTTACCTTGCTCACATCTATAAACATATGCCGACATAAAAAAAAGTCATTATCTGACCTTTAGTGTCGGGGGTGCGCGTGATAGGATATGACCTCGCGCCAGTGTGTACTGTGCTGTGTAGAGGGGTCACAATGTCCCTACCCAATGCTGGAATCTACTATAGTTTGAGGGCTGTGACAGCTGCAAACAGACGGTGATGTATAAGCGGGTATGGTGTATGTAAACATCTGGCTGATATGTGATCATCGACCGATGACCTATAGGTGCAGTATCACACATAACCAGCAGGATCCGGATCTTAGTCTCTCCAATACAACGTCCACTGTGCTTACCCAATCCGGTATCAAGTCGTGTACTATTCTGTTTTGACATGGTGGAGTTGTGGTCTATGCTTTAGCATTTATTACGTGATCAACACGTTGCGATATACCGTTTACATTATCTAGAATGTTTTTAATATGCATTTTAAAGATATATGTATTTTATATGCATTTGTCTTTTTCAACTATGCCATAGCTATAAATACACAATGCCTTTTAGAAAGTGGTCAAACGTAACGAATGTTATTTTTCTGGGTCACACTTTTTAGTGACCCGCAAAATAACATTTGTTACATTTGACCACTACCACTTGTTGGACTTCAATATTCTTGAAGTCTCGGTGGCTGAGTGTGTTAGATCGCTGACTTCGTGAGCTCATTTTGAGAGTGTGGGACGGGACTCAGCCCCCAAAAGTAGTAGAAATTGTACTTTACTAAGAAAGTGTGCTCCCAAATATAACACTTTTTATATGTTATAGTTGAACGTGTCTCGGTATAATCATGTAAGTAGAACTGTAATGTCAGCCACTGTATGTTGTACGCTCCATCTGTGTGTAGGTGTGGTGTACTTCATCCCCGTGGCAGGGGGATACATCGCCGACGCCATGGCAGGCCGCTACAACACCATCCTCGGAGCGGGTCTGATCTACCTGATAGGTAAGTTACCTACATCCCAGACGCCATGGCGGGCCGCTACAACACCATCCTAGGAGCGGGCCTGATCTACCTGATAGGTAAGTGACCTACATCCCAGACGCCATGGCGGGCCGCTACAACACCATCCTAGGAGCAGGCCTCATCTGCCTGATAGGTAAGTTACCTACATCCCAGACGCCATGGCGGGCCGCTACAACACCATCCTAGGAGCGGGCCTCATCTACCTGATAGGTAAGTTACCTACATCCCAGACGCCATGGCGGGCCGCTACAACACCATCCTAGGAGCGGGCCTGATCTACCTGATAGGTAAGTTACCTACATCCCAGACGATATGTCGGACCGGTACAACACGAGGCAAGGACGCTAACTGACGATAAAAGTCCAGTTTCCACCCTCGCCGAACTAGCCTCGAATACCGGAATTACATTTTTACGAGTCTGTGCATAGTCCAATAAAAATCGCGTGACGAACTAGACATCCGGTTCGTCAACAACACGGATTTCAAAGTGCAGGATTTGCAAAGCATGTATACTGTCAACTTGGCGTCGACAGATATGTAGCAAATCTTTTCACGTTTTTAATCAAGGTGCTCAGGTGAGTTGATGCACTTCGCGGCGTAAGACCCGTTTTATTGCAATATAGATCTTTATTATCGATCAGATCGTCTTGACTGGGCGCCGCCATTTTGTTTCAAGCATATGCAAGTGATATGAGAGATGGAATATGATTGGTCAATAGGAGGGACATAGAAGGGATATAACTCGTAATAGCCACTGATGGCCCCTGGAAATTCTAGCGTAGTTCGATAAGGGTGGAAAGGGGATTTTTTTAGTCATTTCACTCCCTTGCCTCGGGAAGATGCCTTGGAGCGGGCCTCATCTACCTCAACGGGGAGTTACCCAGATCGCAAAGACTGAATTGCAGGCCTGGTCTACCTAGCTCTCTCAGCACTTCCTGGTCAGTCCTTGACAACCGAGCGTGGTGGCAGGTCTAGTGTGTCCACAGTTGTATAGGGATAACGAGGGTCTGTGGTGTAGTGCTGGACCTGGGCCTGTGGTGTAGTGCTGTACCTGGATCTGTAGTGTAGTGCTGGATCTGGACCCGTAGTGTAGTGCTAGACCTGGACGTGTAGTGTAGTGCTGGATCTGGGCTTGTAGTGTAGTACTGGACCTGGACCCGTAGTGTAGTGCTGGACCTGGACCCGTAGTGTAGTGCTGGACCTGGACGTGTAGTGCTGGACCTGGACCTGTAGTGTACTGCTGGACCTGGACCTGTAGTGTACTGCTGGACCTGGACCTGTAGTGTAGTGCTGGACCTGGACCTGTAGCGTAGTGTTAGACCTGGACGTGTAGTGCTGGACCTGGACCCGTAGTGTAGTGCTGGACCTGTGTATAGTGCTGGACCTGGACCTGTAGTGTAGTGCTGGACCTGGACCTGTAGTGTAGTGCTGGACCTGGACCCGTAGTGTACTGCTGGACCTGGACCTGTAGTGTAGTGTTAGACCTGGACGTGTAGTGCTGGACCTGAACCCGTAGTGTAGTGCTGGACCTGGACCTGTAGTGTACTGCTGGACCTGGACCTGTAGTGTAGTGCTGGACCTGGACCTGTAGTGTAGTGCTGGTCCTGTATTGTAGTGTTAGACCTGGACGTGTAGTGCTGGACCTGGACCTGTGGTGTAGTGCTGGACCTGGACCTGTAGTGTAGTGCTTGTCCTGTATTGTAGTGTTAGACCTGGACGTGTAGCGCTGGACCAGGAGATGGACGTGTAGTGCTGGTCCTGTATTGTCGTGTTAGACCTGGACGTGTAGTGCTGGACCTGGACCTGTAGTGTAGTGCTGGACCTGGACCTGTGGTGTAGTGCTGGACCTGGACCTGTGGTGTAGTGCTGGACCTGGACCTGTAGTGTAGTGCTGGACCTGGACCTGTAGTGTAGTGCTGGACCTGGACCTGTAGTGTAGTGCTGGACCTGGACCTGTTGATGTAGTGCTGGACCTGGACCTGTAGTGTAGTGCTGGACCTGGACCTGTGGTGTAGTGCTGGACCTGGACCTGTAGTATAGTGCTGGACCTGGACCTGTAGTGTAGTGCTGGACCTGGACCTGTAGTGTAGTGCTGGACCTGGACCTGTGGTGTAGTGCTGGACCTGGACCTGTAGTGAAGTGCTGGACCTGGGCCTGTGGTGTAGTACTAGACCTGGACCTGTGGTGTAGTGCTGGACCTGGACCTGTAGTGTAGTGTTAGGCCTGACCCTGCAGTGCAATGCTTATGATAATGAACTATATTTGCATGCATCATTTGCCGTTTGCAAAAAAGGTTCAGCTTGATGTGTGTGTGGGGCCAGAAGTCCGCCGCTGTAGATCCCAGTGGACTGCAGTCTGCTCACATTCTCCATTGCAGGTCTTGTGATGATCCCGGCCTCCTCCATAGACTATAAAAGCATGTTCGGCAGGTCGGAGGATGGGTCGGCCTATGACATGACACTGGTAAGTTGAAACACCGGCAGTACTACAATATGTCTAAAGATATGGATCATAGGCATAGGAGCAATGTGCATGCTGATCGTGTACCAGATCCATGACTAACGCTGACAAACCTGACTGCCGATTCTTACCCGGATTGTAGCCACGTGATCAAAACTCAGTGGTGGTGCTTATCGCTAGCGAAATGGATATTTCTTGAAAAGCGCACTCTGCATTTTTTGTCATTACTGTAAGTAATATTCCTTATCGGCGGAATGGCTTGTTTTCACTTCATAAGTATTAATTAATCGTCGCAATATTTCGTGATCCTTTTTCAAGTGGCCGGGACAATAGCCGTTTTCACGGTCATGGAATGTACTTTCAACATTTTCATTGTTGAAATTAAATATTCTCTCTCATTTTAGCGTCTCTGGTTGTCTTCATTCGCTGTCACCACTCAGAAAGCCTAGTCATTTTGCCATTTTTAAATCTGGAATTGATTAGAAACCTGTATTTTATATGTCCATCGTGCTATTTTAGCTTCATGACCTTTTGTTAGATTTCCGTCCAGATTATTTTAAACCGAAGTATAGACTGCCTCATGTTTTCTCCAGGAGGCGAGACGTGGATTCTTCCTGGGGGGTCTGGCGTTTGTAGCGATAGGGACTGGTGGTATCAAGGCCAATGTCGGACCCTTCGGGGCCCAGCAGTTGGAGAAGCTCGGAGAAGCTGCCGTGCAGTCCTTCTTTAACTGGTAATCAAAGACCGTACATTCAATACACTATAGCTAGTGCTCTACAACCGTACATTTAATACATTAGTGCTCTACGACTGTACATTCAATCCACTAGTGCTCTACGACTGTACATTCAATACACTAGTGCTCTACAACCGTACATTCAACACACTAGTGCTCTACAATCGTACATTCCACACACACGTGCTCTACAACCGTACATTCAATACACTAGTGCTCAACAACCGAACATACAATACACTAGTGCTCTACGACTGTACATTCAATACACTAGTGCTCTACTACCGTACATTCAACACACTAGTGCTCTACAATCGTACATTCCACACACACGTGCTCTACAACCGTACATTCAATACACTAGTGCTCAACAACCGAACATACAATACACTAGTGCTCTACAACCGTACATTCAATACACTAGTGCTCTACAACCGAACATACAATACACTAGTGCTCTACAACCGTACATTCAATACACTAGTGCTCTACAACCGTACATTCAATACACTAGTGCTCAACAACCGAACATACAATACACTAGTGCTCTACGACTGTACATTCAATTCACTAGTGCTCTACAACCGTACATTCAATACACTAGTGCTCTACAACCACACATGCAATAGACTAGTGCTCTACAACTGTACATTCAATACACTAGTGCTCTACAACCATACATTCAATACACTAGTGCTCTACAACCGTACATTCAATACACTAGTACTTTACAACCACACATTCAACACACTAGTGCTCTACAACCGTACATTCAACACACTAATGCTCTACAACCGTACATTCAACACACTAATGCTCTACAACCGTACATTCAACACACTAATGCTCTACAACCGTACATTCAACACACTAGTGCTCTACAACCACACATTTAATACACTAGTGCTCTACAACCGTACATTCAATACACTAGTGCTCTACAACTGAACATACAATACACTATTGCTCTACAACTGTACATTCAATACACTAGTACTCTACAACCGTACATTCAATACACTAGTGCTCTACAACTGTACATTCAATACACTAGTACTCTACGACTGTACATTCAATACACTAGTGCTCTACGATTGTACGTGTAATACACAAGTGCTCTACGACTGTATATTCAATACACTTGTGCTCTACGACTGTATATTCAATATACAAGTGCTCTACGACTGTATATTCAATACACTTGTGCTCTACGACTGTACATTCAATACACACGTGCTCTACGACTGTATATTCAATACACACGTGCTCTACGACTGTATATTCAATACACACGTGCTCTACGACTGTATATTCAATACACTTGTGCTCTACGACTGTACATTCAATACACTAGTGCTCTACAACCGTACATTCAATACACTAGTGCTCTACAACTGTACATTCAATACACTAGTACTCTACAACCGTACATTCATTACACCAGTGTTCTACGACTGTACATTCAATACACTAGTGCTCTACGATTGTACGTGTAATACACAAGTGCTCTACGACTGTACATTCAATACACTTGTGCTCTACGACTGTACATTCAATACACTAGTGCTCTACAACCGTACATTCAATACACTTGTGCTCTACAACCGAACATACAATACACTATTGCTCTACAACTGTACATTCAATACACTAGTACTCTACAACCGTACATTCAATACACTAGTGCTCTACAATCGTACATTCAATACACTAGTGCTCTACAACCGTACATTCAATACACTTGTGCTCTACGACTGTACATTCAATACACTTGTGCTCTACAACCGTACATTCAATACACTAGTGCTCTACAACCGTACATTCAATACACTAGTGCTCTACAACCGTACATTCAATACACTTGTGCTCTACAACCGTACATTCAATACACTTGTGCTCTACAACCGTACGTGTAATACACAAGTGCTCTAAGACTGTACATTCAATACACTAGTGCTCTACGACTGTACATTCAAGACACTTGTGCTCTACAACCGTACATTCAATACACTTGTGCTCTACAACCGTACATTCAATACATTTGTGCTCTAAGACTGTACATTCAATACACTAGTGCCCTACAACCGTACATTCAATACACTAGTGTTCTACGACCGTACATTCAATACACTAGTGCTCAACGACTGTACATTCAAGACACTTGTGCCCTACAACTTTACATTCAATACACTAGTGCTCTACAACTGTACATTCAATACACTTGTGCTCTATAACCGTACATTCAATACACTAGTGCTCTACAACGGTACATTCAATACACTTGTGCTCTACGACTGTACATTCAATACACTAGTGCTCTACAACCGTACATTCAATACACAAGCGCTCTACGACTGTACATTCAATACACTAGTGCTCTACAACCGTACATTCAATACACTAGTGCTCTACAACCGTACATTCAATACACTAGTGCTCTACAACCGTACATTCAATACACTTGTGCTCTAAGACTGTACATTCAATACACTAGTGCTCTACGACTGTACATTCAAGACACTTGTGCTCTACAACCGTACATTCAATACACTTGTGCTCTACAACCGTACATTCAATACACTAGTGCTCTACAACCACACATGCAATACACTAGTGCTCTACAACCGTACATTCAATACACAAGTGCTCTACAACCGTACATTCAATACACTTGTGCTCTACGACTGTACATTCAATACACTAGCGCTCTACGACTGTACATTCAATACACTAGTGCTCTACAACCGTATATTCAATACACTAGCGCTCTACGACTGTACATTCAATACACTAGTGCTCTACAGCCGTACATTCAATACACTAGTGCTCTACAACCGTGCATTCAATACACTAGTGCTCTACGACTGTACATTCAATACACTAGTGCTCTACAACCGAACATTCAATACACTAGTGCTCTACAACCGTACATTCAATACACTAGTGCTCTACGACTGTACATTCAATACACTAGTGCTCTAAGACTGTACATTCAATACACTAGTGCTCTACGACTGTACATGTATCCAAATGGATCGTTTGGTACAAGGCATGATTGCTGAAAAGGCCCGAATGGTATAAAGCACGATTACTCAAAAGGCCCGAATGATAAAAGGCGTGATTACGTTAAAGGCCCGAATGGTAAAAGGCGCGATTACTCAAAAGGCCCGAATGATAAAAGGCGCAATTACTCAAAAAGGCCCGAATGATAAAAGGCGCGATTACTCAAAAGGCCCGAATGATAAAAGGCGCGATTACTCAAAAGGCCCGAATGATAAAAGGCGCGATTACTCAAAAGGCCCGAATGATAAAAGGCGCGATTACTCAAAAGGCCCGAATGATAAAAGGCGCGATTACTCAAAAGGCCCGAATGATAAAAGGCGCGATTACTCAAAAGGCCCGAATGATAAAAGGCGTGATTACTCAAAAGGCCCGAATGATAAAAGGCGTGATTACTCAAAAGGCCCGAATGGTAAAAGGCGCGATTACTCAAAAGGCCCGAATGATAAAAGGCGCGCTTACTCAAAAGGCCCGAATGATAATAGGCGCGATTACTCAAAAGGCCCGAATGGTAAAAGGCGCGATTACTCAAAAGGCTCGGATGATAAAAGGCGCGATTACTCAAAAGGCCCGAATGGTAAAAGGCGTGATTACGTAAAATGCCCGAATGGTAAAAGGCGCGATTACTCAAAAGGCCCGAATGATAAAAGGCGCGATTACTCAAAAGGCCCGAATGATAAAAGGCGCGATTACTCAAAAGGCCCGAATGGTAAAAGGCGCGATTACTTAAAAGGCCCGAATGGTAAAAGGCGCGATTACTCAAAAGGCCCGAATGAAAAAAAGGCGTGATTACGTAAAATGCCCGAATGGTAAAAGGCGCGATTACTCTAAAGGCCCGAATGATAAAAGGCGTGATTACGTAAAAGGCCCGAATGGTGAAAGGCGCGATTACTCAAAAGTCCCCTATGGTAAAAGGCGCAATTACTCAAAAGGATAATAATGCAGAATGTCTGGGTTCGATCCATCAAATATGACGACATTTATAAGATTTCTCTGTCGTTCGTTGTTGACATTAAAATATTAATATAATAATGCCGGTCTACAGGTAGCCGAGGGGTAAACAGGGTACATCACACTGTATATCCCGCGGCATCGGTTGATAACGAATTTTTCTTTCCAGCGTAGTTTTTTACAGTCAATCTAAAATGTCTTCATCGGTACGACAAACGAACCTTTTCACACCGTTCTTGCTCTACAATCGGATGTGTTTGATTAAGTTCTCTAAACTGCGGTTAATGTTTTCAGTTTCGAGATATAATCAAATCGTATATTCGCATTTGCTCGGCATTTCCCAGCGGAGTATATGAAATGTGTACCTGATATATTTCACAGGTTCTACTGGTTCATCAATGCTGGGGCTTTGGTCGCCTACTCGGGGGTGGCCTACCTACAACAGAACTACAGCTGGGCGTGGGGTTTCTCAGTCCCTCTCTTCAGCATGATCCTGGCTCTTATTGTGTTTGTCCTTGCCAGATCCCACTACGAACACCTGCCTCCAGGGGGTCAGTATACGACAGCATGTGTTTAGGAATCACTAGCAAATAGCCATCATTCCAGGTGTTCAAGTCGTAAGAGGCGACTGACGGTATCGGGTGGTCAGACTCGCCGACTTGGTTGATGCATGTCATCGTATCCCAATTAGGGGATCGATGCTCATGATGTCAATCACTGGATTGTCTTGGCCAGACTCGAGCGGAAGAAGCCTTTCGATATTTTTGACATCTAAACGCAGTGAGAAAAGGCACAATTAGTTCCTGACCAATACGTCGATCTACATGTTATTATAAGCAGCCAATACAGTCTGGTTCAAAACATGACGCCCTCTAGTCTGTGGCGGAAGATCCATGAACCATTATCTTAGTAGCTGGTTTGGCGGGTCTATATTGCTATGTGGCACGACAGTAGCTTCATCTTGTAGTTGGATGTCTGAAACAATTCAGACATTTTCCGTACTATTCCGGCAATATCAAAGCGGGGCATATGGGTTTTACACATAGACTTGTGGGTAATCGAACCCGGCCTTGGCTGTGACGAGCGACCGCTTCAGGGCCTGCCGCTTGTAGTGGATCTGGAATAGCTGAAAAAGCTGTATGTCTTGTCATACATGTCAGAAAAGTTGTAATAAAGAATCTATGGCATTTTCTGTGTGACGCACACTTATATTGGCGATGAAACTCCAATTAGTCCAACAGTAACAAGTGAGAGTTGTTTCAGAGAGCGTGCTGGCCACTGTTTTCAACGTGTGGCGGAAAGGCTGCGGCCATTTTGACCGGGTGAAGAAAACGAATGGCGGGACGATTGATGACGTGACGGTAGACGGCGCTGTCAGTGTATTGAGAGTCTTGCCAGTGTATTTACTCATGATCTTCTACTGGGCCATCTACTCACAGGTACCCACCATTCCTAGAATATCACCTGACAAAATAACCACAGAATAAAACGCCAAAATACCAATTTTAAACTAACAGTTGACGTCAAAACAGGGGCGCGATGCAAGCCACGAATCGCTTAGAGAAGCAAATTAATCGCTCATCCCGGAGCTGCAACAGTTCCAAAATGGCGGCGCAAATACCACTTGGTTGTCTTGGCCTAATGAAGAACGTAACAGAGGAGGCTCGATGACGAGCTGATGAAATTTATGACTACTTTTACGATTTATAGCAGACTGCCTTTGCTCATTTCCCCGTGGCTCCAGTCAAGAATTTCTTGTTCCGCTGTCAAAGTTAGCCGCCATTTTGCTTTGAGGACGAAGCGACCTCAGCCAGCGATTGTTTCGCTTGCAAAAGTTAGCGCACTGTTGTAAGGCGAATCGCTGTACATCACTTGCAAGCGCTTTGCGCTTTGCAACGCACCCATGTGTATAAGGATACCAGTCGGTATATAAGGTGACATCCAACCAGTGTGTGACGTCAACCCCAGTGTGCATGGTGACGTTAACCAGTGTGTAAGAAGTCAAACCAGTGTGTGACGGTCAGCCTCTGTGTGTAAGGTGACGTTAAGCCAGTATCTGACGTCAACCAGTGTGTAAGATGACGTCAAACCAGTGTGTGATGTCAACCCCAGTGTGTAAGGTAACGTCAGGCCAGTGTGTGATGTCAATACCATTGTGTAAGCTGACGTCAACCAGTAAGGTGACATCAAGCCAGTATGTAACGTCAACCCAAGTGCGTAAGGTGACGTTAACCAGTGTGTAATGTGACGTCAAGCCAGTGTGTAACGTCAACCCCAGTGTGTAAGGTGACGTCAAGTCAGTGTGTGACGTCAACCCCAGTGTGTAAGGTGACGTCAACCAGTGTGTAATGTGACGTCAAGTCAGTATGTGACGTCAACCCCAGTGTGTAAGGTGACGTCAAGCCAGTGTGTAACGTCAATCCCAGTGTGTCAAGCTTAGATTGCAGCACATCTATAAAAGATGGTTTCTAGTGTATATTTTCACAAGCTCAATTGCTTCTTAATTTCATAAGATAACGTGTGTATGTTAAAAAGATGCAGTCAACCTTCTTCTTGCAAGCTGAGAGGATGAACGTCAAAGTAGGGGACGTCAAAATCCCCGCCGCCATGCTGAACATCTTCAACACCATCATCATCCTGCTGCTCATCCCCCTCGTGGACCGGCTGATATATCCCCTCTTCGAAAAGATGGGACGCCCCCTCACACATCTCCAGCGAATGGGTGAGGGATTCTCAATAACAAATAACCGTTGTCAATAATTAACGTCTTGAGTTGAAGTAGTTTTCTCAAGTTTCATTATATCCGCGGTTCCTATAACCCCGCTTCGTAAAAGATGGGATTCCTCTCACACATCTCCAGCGAATGGGTGAGGCATTCTCAATAACAAATAACGCGACAATGTCCCCTGTAGTATTCCATACATAACCGTTGTAACTAATTAACGTCTTGAGGCGAAATAGTTTTCACTTATTTCACTAAACTATGTGCGACATTGACCCTCGAAGGTTTCATCAGGAAACGGAACACAGGCCAATGCGACCATCATATGTTTGTTTTTAACATTGCTGCAGAACTGTCTTTGGTCCATCTTGTTTGTTTGTTTGTTTGTTGTTTATCGCCGCAATATTCCAGCTTTATGACGGCGGTCTGTAAATGGTCGAGACAATCCACTGATTGACATCATGAGCATCGATCCACGCAATTGGGATATGATGATATGCATTAACAAAGTCAGCGAGTCTGACCACCCAATCCCGTTAGTCGCCTTTCACAACAAGCATAGTCGTCTGTTAGGCAAGCATGGGTTGCTAAAGACCTATTCTAACCCGGATCTTCACGGGTGCAGTTCCATCTTGAAAGCCTGACATGGATAGCGTTACATGGTGTCTGTCCCTTCTGCAGGTGTGGGTCTCCTGCTGGCTGGGGGGTCCGTGGTGGTGGCGGGGGTAGTGGAGATCTACAGGAAGCAGAGCATTGCTGACCACGGGGCCATCGTGCAGGTTCTCGGCCATGAGAGGTTCAACGCATCCTCCATGTCCGTGTTTGTACAGATTCCAGAGTACGCCTTTGTGGGGGCAAGCGAAGTATTTGCCAGCATTACAGGTGAGACAACTATGTTCTTAACAAGTTTGCATTGTTTGATACAAGCACAACAGTGACCTAGGCCTTGACCTTCACTAAGTCATGTGCAGCATTCGTCGTAGGATATCTCCGGACATAGTATTTCTATATAGCACGGTAATATAATTATATGACGGTAGCCTGTAGTCGGGAATATTACAACTACAGTCAAACACCGTTGTGTCGAACTTTGATGTGTCGAACGTACAGCTGTCGCAAAGTAAAAGAAAGGTCCCTGCGTATTCCTTCTTTATTCATCATTTTCGGTTGTGTCGAACCTCGGATAACTCGAATCATTTACCTTGGTCCCTTCACCTTCGACACAACGGTGTTTGACTGTATATCAGGGGAACCTGTAGGATGCGATACCACACACGTAAGGACGGTCCGTGATTATAGCAAAGCCACTGGGTTTTATAACCTACAGAATATGTAAACATTACATTATATTATCTATCAAATCTAAAGTGTAAAAGACAAGATCCGTTCCCAGGTCTGGAGTTCGCCTTCACACAAGCGCCCCCGTCCATGCAGGGGCTCCTTACAGGCCTCTTCCTGATGACCTCCGGGATAGGCAGCTTCGTCTCGTCAGCCATTCTCAAAATTGTTGAAGCAGCCACAACAGCTGGTGAGTTGCGATGTTTGTTTGTTTGTTGATTAACGCCGCACTCAGCAATATGGCAGCTATATGACGGCGGTCTGTAAATAATCGAATCTGAACCAGACAATCCAGTGATAGATGTCATGAGCATCGATCCAAGCAGTTGGGATACGATGACATGCATCAACCACGTCAGCGAGCTCGATCCCGTTAGTAACAAGCATAGTCACCTCTTACGGTCTCTATGTATGTATGTATGTATGTGTGTGTGTGTGTGTGTGTGTGTGTGTGTGTGTGTGTGTGTGTGATGGATGGATGGATGTCTATCTTGTGCGATATGCTACGTTAAGGATGTGCGTACGAAAGTACGCGTGAATGTACGTACTTACGTACGAAGTGCACGTGTACGTACGTACGTACGTACATACACGCGCTTAAGTTGCGACTTACACACGCACGCACGTACGTACGTACAAAAGTACACGTGTATGTACGTACGTAAAAAAATACACGTGTATGTACTGTCTGAATGTCATGTTAATGAACAATACCCGTCTCCCTCAGATCCCTGGTTTCCCGACGACATCAACAACGGAAAGGCGGAGTATTTGTTCTTCCTGTTGGGCGGCCTCATGCTCGTCAACTTCTTCGGCTTCCTTCTGGTGGCGCGCTGGTACAAGTACCTGCCTCCCCCCTCTCGTGACGACACAGGCCCCGACCAGGTGGAAGGCGCGGATAACAACGGATACACCATCACCTACGACGAAAAGGACGTCGTAAACACCAAATTCTGATAGATCTTCAAAGGATGTCATCGTGGTCTTCTCGAGGGTGGCAACATCTGATACGGATTATATTTGCAGAAGTTGCTCTAATCAGTACTTCCTACACTCGCTCAGGGCCCACCGATTCATGTTCCGAGGTCAGAAGCAGAAGCTGTGTTCTCCTTGGCTACCAACGGACTGTACGAATCGACACACGTTCCTGTCACAGCACCTTAAACTACCTGGTCAATCCAGGACCTTAGCTACCAGAGGATTCAGTTCAACCATATTTGAATACGGTGCTAAATCATGTAAAAAAGCTCTTGGACTGAAACTGAATTGTATGTACTGTTAAACGTGTAACATTGTCCTTACACTTGGTGAATTCAAATAGCTGCTAAGGGCGTTGTGCTCGAACATGTAGTATGTAGCGGTATTGCCATACTGGCACTATATCATGAACATATACGGAACGACATGCTCTTGTGTTCGTTTGTTGACATCGAGACAATCACCAACACTGAAATAATGCATAATTATGTTTATCTTGAATAATCCAATATGTACAATGTTCAACAAACAAACATATCACAAATCTAGCAAGAGTAACTTATTCTTCAGCTCTGCGGGAACGTCCAGAGATTGTAACCTGCAGTTTCTGCCCGAGGAGTAACCGACAAGCTGAGACACCGCCCTGTGGCAGAGACTCCCTAGCGCCTGGGGGGACTGGCAGTTCGTCACCAGCCACCCCCACACATCCGGGTTCTGTTCTTCAACTCGTTGTCTGAGTTCAGGGTCGAGGCTGAACCTGAACAGATCGGCGTCAGAACACGGCCTGGCAGCCCACAACACGCGGACCATGTCCATCCGTCCGGAAAACAGGGCCGCGTACATAGGTGTCATGTTCACCCACCGGCGTCTGTGGAGGGTGATGGATTCCTGGCAAGGGTTGGCACCGTGTTGTAACAGAACTCTAGCGCAGCCTGTGTGCCACTTTCTCACGGCCACAATCAAAGGGCTCTGGCCGTGAACGTCTGTCATCTCCGGAGACGCCCCTGCTCGTAACAGTGCGTCAGTGCAGTCCGTGAACCCTCCGTTACATGCTTCATGCAACGCTGTCTGGCCGCCCCTGTTGGCGTGGTTTACCGAGTCGATGCGGGCCAGGAGGAAGTTGACTATGTCAATGTGGTCGTTCCTGACTGCATACATCAGTGGTGTCAAGCCCCAAATATTCCGCTCTTCATGGGGATCGAATTCACTCCCTGCTTCAAGCAGCCTTTCAAAAACTTGAAGGTGACCCGCCTTGACTGCTATCAATAGGGCAGTATCACCGTGTATGTTGCGAGCAGATACGTCGCCGCCATTGTCAAGCAGCAGGCTGACGAGCTCCACGTTTCCAGTACTGGCCGCGATATGCAGAGCCTTATTACCGTAGTCATCCACAGAACAGGACGCATCACATCCAGCCTTGAGTAGGATCTTAACGAGCTCGACGTCCTCCCTCTCCAGGCACTCCATCAACATTGTGCCCATGCTGGCCCAGGACGTCAACATGTTAAACCTGACCACCTATCCCTTCACGGCAGGCTAACCCCGGCAGAACGCATCCCACGCGTGTAATTCCGTGTTACTTTACTTGAAATTATCAGTTTGTGTTTTAGAAATGAATCAGTCCCCGGGATAATTCCAAGAGCCCATTCCTATGACCCGAGCAATCACTGTTATGTGGTATGTGGTATGTCCAAGCATGGACACTGGGGTGAAACTGCTCCACGAAGTCCACACTGTGACCTCGTTAGTCTGCGCTACACGTCATGCACCTGAAAAGTGAAAAACACAAACTTAACACGGTGAGTGAGTGAGTGAGTGAGGGTGTTACTTAACGTCGAACTCAGCAATATTTCAGTTACATGACGGCAGTCTGTAAATGATCGAGTCCAGGGTCCACTTGCACAAAGCGATCTTAGCGCTCAGATGACTGTAACTCCCATACTTTAATAGTATTAAGTATATAGACTTACGATAGTTTTAGGGCTAAGGTCGCTTTGTGCAAGCTGTACCAGGACTCGTTCCGCAATGCGATCCTAGCGCTAAGGTGACAGGCAACTCCCAAACTTTAACATAGGATTACGGTCATCGTAGCTCTAAGGTCGCTTTGCGGAAAGGGGCTCTAGTCCATACAATCATGATTAACATTATGAGCATCGATCTACAAAACTGGGATACGATGACATGCATCAACCAAATCAGAGAGCCTGACATCCGATCCCATTAGTCGCCTCTTACGACAAGCATTGGTTGCTGAAGACCAATTCTAACCCGGATCTTCACGGGTCGTGAGTGAGTGAGTTGGACCAACTGAACAATATTTAAGTTATATTAGGGTGTGTTAGTCGTGGTCATTGTTGAATCTGGGATTCGAACCAGCGACTACTGTGCCCTGGCACAAAAAGTCTTTACTGGGTCAACCTGTACTGGGTATAGACTGTCATAGTTACGTAGAAGTATTAATTATCTCCCAGGAGAATAGAAATGGTTATAGAAAGTCGGCCTTACTACACACTTTGGAAAGCGGACATACCAACTTGAATATAAACACAAACTATATACAAGTATTCCACATCACAGTTTATTGAGCAGCGGTTGTAACAAGTACATAACAATGTCATTCAAAGAATAGAAATACTACAATGGGCATCGAGTGAGGTATCACTGAATGGGTGCTCTACTCTGCGCTAATAAGCGTTTGAGAAGGGTTTGAGAAAATTACAAGGGAGCATGGGCCAAGGGGATGAGTAATCGTTGGAAACATGTAACCAAACTTTGGAAAGAAACTTTATCATTGTCTCACATGTGTATAATGATAGGCGCACATACGAAATATATAAATTATTATAAAAATATATTTTAAACATCCCAAACTGTAAAATATTACATGTTTAAGTTATTCGGCAACAATCATAACAGGGAGACACCTCCTGACCTAGACTGGTTTACATGCCCAAGAGCGCTTGCGTTTCTCGCCTGCAGCCGCTAGGAGGCAGGGTCCAAGTCTAGCTCTATCCGACCTATTTTCCCGAACAGCATTTCGCTGCGTGAAACGTTGACCGATTTCCATGCACGAAGCGGGTCTGTCTGTCGAGGGGGTCGGGAACTGACCTATAGCAAATCGTTATGTTGGGAACGTAGACCCACTTTTGGACAGCGCGAATAATTGACATGTCAGGCTACAGGAGTAAACACATATTACCATTAAGAGGGTAACTCGCATAGAGAAATATGGTTCATGTTTGAAAATAACAAACGCACTCACAACGTTGTGGGTTTCAATTTAACAATATATGCATGTCTCCATGTCCAGATCTACTTCATCATAAAATAATATCACAACATTGTAGCTATTACTTTGAAAAGATAATGAAAGAAATTGTAATATTTGCATATGGTACCTTCAGAATCAGGAATGAGAATATGTCACATTTCATTTATGTATCATGAAAGTAGAAAACAAACATGAAAACAAAACTAGCAATATGTTTTAAAAACAATGACTTCCTGAGACATTTGTTACTAGTTTTGTTTCCATAATATGATTGTTATCTACTTTTATATTACAAAAATATTGAAACTGAAATGTGCCATATTCTCATTCCTGATCCTGGAGGACCACATGCAATTTGTTTTATCTTCTGGGTTACACACGTGCGATTTATAACAGTATAAGAGTGAGTGAGTGAGTTGGGTTTAACGCCGCTGTAAACAGTATTACAGTTATATCGCGGCATGTCAGCTTAGTGTGGGAGTAAAACCCGAAGTGATGCAGGTCTCAGACGTTTACCACTTCGGTGAAACCCACGAGCACGGGTATGGTGCTGACAAACCTAGAAATATAATCGGGGCGAACCGGGATTCGAACCCACAACCATAGGTTTCTGGCGTGCCCAAGGGACGCAACTCTGCACAGCGAATCGCGGCGCCTTAGACGAATGGGCCACCCGTGCCCCCTGTAACAGTATAAGAACTGGCATCAATGGGTAGGTATGCTACACATTCTCTTTGGATCAACGTTATCTTGGTTGTGTTGTGATGCTTGCTGTAAAAGACGACTATGCTTGTCGTAAGATGCGCCTAACGGGATCGGTGGTCAGGTTCGCCGACGTTGGTTGATGCATGTTATTGTATCCCAATTGCGTGGATCCATGCATATGTCAATCACTGGATTGTCTGGTCCACACTCGATTATTTACAGACCACCGGAATACTGCAACAAACAAATGTTTGTATTGTGGAATGTGTCAGTCCGCACGACAGAATGCCAGGCTTCGATATTGGGGGGTATGGACGTGAACATGTGATTACTATAAATAGAACAGATTCCGTCTCCCAGTATCCTGCACCCAGTTGGACGAAAGGGAGTCTAAAGGTGAAGGTGAAATGTGGTTTCATGTCGCGGACAAGATCATAGCCCCAATATTGTGCGGTTTGTGTGTGTCTGTGTGTGTGGCTCCAGACAGACATTGTATTCACTCAAACACGAAGGTAGTAGTCGCCTAAAGGAGGATCTGTATGGTTGTTTCAGGGATATTTTATTAGTTGTGACAACAGGAGGGACAATTCAGCTTTGAGCTGGCCATGCGCAAGTCCAATGACAAGCACCAATGCCAATACAGGCCTCATCAAGTTGCCAGGGATTGATCTAGGATCTAGGAAACTACGTGCCCACTGCAGCCAAACCGGGAATAACATTCATTATTTTGTTTAAATTGGGATTTTAATTTATTTTTTTCTATTTTCCTAGATTCGGAGGTATTTTAACATTGCATTCTGTGCGATAGTGTAAAACTAAGATTAAATATCTCTTCCTCTTTATTGGCCCTGTTGTCAGTGATGTCAAAGCCTTAACATTAGTTATAACTAGTATATTAACATGAATTGGGAAAATGTTAATAAGAATTAGGAAGTTGCAGTCTTCGGGCCGAATACCGGCTTTTGAGCAGGTCAAGAGAAGCCCCTGATAACTGGCATATATTGCCGAATGTTGCGTAAAACTATATTTAGGGCTTAGAGTCACATGATATATTTGCTGTGTAGCTTCACATATATAGTAAATTGCCGAGAGCAGCGTTAAACAACAAACAAACAAAACATCCATAGTATATATATGACGACGGCCTGTGAATAATCGAGTCTGGGCCAGGCGAACCAGTGATTGATATTATAAAAAACGATCCAACGATTGTAATTAAGATGTAAGTAAGACTTATATTATTTTGTATTTAGTAGCTTCTAAAGATAGTTACTTTTATCATAACATGACCCTCAACATTACGAAGAGCTACATGTATATCAGTTGAGATCTCCCGCGCAAAATTCAACTTCCAGCAAATGTAACACTCGTGCAGTCGTTCACAGAAAGATAGCTAGGTTTACCTTCCCAAAATGACCGCAACTCGGTAAACCAACCACGCCACCGACGCGTGCTTGTGTTCGGCTAACTTCGCGAGAATTCTAATTTCCACGAAAAGTCGTACTTCACAGATGTGTTGATATAAGAATGTCGTGTGCGCATGCTCAGGGTCAAAGAGTATGACCTACATTTGGCCGTATGTCTCGTGTCCCAATGACTAACAGTGCACCTCCACCGAGTACACGCAGACATGCATCATTGATCGGGAGGCAGAACGCTCTCAGGCTTCGATACCTTTGCTGCATATGGCTCCGACGTGACCACTGGTTACGAACGGTCATAAGAATACATTCTAAACTTACCACATTAAATTGTACCCACCCCGGAAAGCGTGTTGTTCTCAGAGCGATGTCATCTACGTCCCTTCTCACAGCGACGATCCACTGCCGGAGCATGTCATTCTATTTTTAGAACAATTATTTGTGTAGGTGGGTCGTTATTTTATCGGTAAACATTACGTAAGAGAAATCATAATGTTTCCATTCCCACCGGCTCAGATTTGTGTCTCAACGCGAATGAAGGTGTTTGAAATTACAAACAGTTTTCTGGCCCTGCTCGCGATGTCAGGTGGGATACAATGGAGGCTCTTCGATCAAAGGGAGGTAACTTGAATTGATTTGTTCTTGCGTGCACTGGGGCTTCTTTCTATTAGGCCGACTGTAAAGTCTTTGACGGTTGAAAAGAATTAAAAAAATAAAATGTTTGTACAGATATTATTTCTGTGTATAAATATAAATATACTCAACAACAAAAGTTCCTGTGACACCAATATTTTAGTGTATTTTTCAAACAAGTAAAATTTGGTTTTCAATATTGTAGTACATGTATGGAATCAAGTTACAAAAACACATCTGCTACAGAAAAACATGCATTCCATGCAAAAGTTGACTTTAATGCAAGCCCCATGCATTTCACTACCCAAGAATGGGTATAAAAACTTGTGCGTTAACGGGATTCCATATGCATTGTTCAGCATCGTGCTGACAACGACTCAGAAAAAACCCATAATTACGCAATTATTCAACATTACGAAATGCCACGCCTGTCCGAAAATGAGTACTGCGAGCCATTGGTATGCTTGAAGCAGGTTCGAGTCAACGTAATGTTGCAAGACAATTTAACGTCCACAGAAACACCATTTTGTGTTTATGGCAACCTTGGTAACAAACGCGAATGCAGTCAGAGACCATCCTCGGAGTGGCAGGCTACGCGTAACCAATAATCGACAAGACAACTGGATTCGAACAACGCACCTACGAAATCGATTCCAGCCGGCAACAGTGACTGCAAGAAGCATCCCTGGCCTTCGACGAATATAACGTCGCCTCAGATGTGCAGGGATTGTCGCCAGAAGACCCGCCAGACGTCCCATTTTGACAGGAAACCACCGTCAAGCACGTCTACAGTGGTGCAGACAGCGTCTACGCTGGACGGCCATGCAGTGGGGACAAGTTCTTTTCACTGACGAGTCTCGCCACAGCGATGTACCGACATCGAGGTGAACGTTACGTCAATCATTGTGTCATGGAAGAAGGTCGGTTCGGGGTCGGCAGCGTTATGGTATTGGGTGGGACTACAGCAAGACAGAGGACCCGTTTGATAGTGGTAGAGGGAAATCTCAATGGACAGCGCTATCGCGACGAGAATATCGGCCCTGTTGTTCTACCGTTTTTGCGTCGTCATGGCCCAGGCATTACCTTTCAACATGACAACGCCCGGCCTCATATTGCTCGACTTGATCAGGATTCACTTCAACAAATAAACGTGAATTTCATCCCCAGGCCGACTCGCTCCCCTGATCTCTTACCACTCGAGCACACGGCGCCTTCGACGTCAACCACGTGTTCCACAGTCACTCCAGGAACTTCGAAACATGCTCCAGCAGATATGGACAGATATCCCACAGGACTTTGTGCGACACCTGGTCCAAAAAAACAACTTTGCATTAAATCTTATTCAATGTCACAGGAACTTTTGTTGTTCAGTATATAAACCTGCAGTAGATTTTATCCACATACCAGCGAGCATGTGCAATGTGTAAGAGTGCCAATCCACTTTTGGTACGGCAATTGAGGGGCCTGTTTAGAGAGAATAAGGGTCTCAGTAGGTACGCGGATGCAAATAAAGTCGTATTTGGTACGTAGATTCAACATTTAAGAAAATAATGGTGCGCGTAAAAATAGTCTACATATATTTCATTTTCTTCTCTATTTTATTTCAGTAATTTATCTTCAGATCGCACCCATTTATGACATAGAAACGTGTTCTTTCCGTTTTCGTCTGGGATTGACATTCTGCCTTTGTGGAGAGAATTCTGATGTGATTTCAGATTTTTGTGTTCGGGATTCAGGGTTGAGGAAATGGTTGAGCATGTAAAAATCTGATGGTATTCGGGATTCACATGTGGCATCTCCTTTGGCAAGGGGCTTTGTTGGAAATGTGTCTCTGTCCACCCAGCAGTGAGTGGGTACCCGGTAGGATGAAATGGTAATGTGGCTCACAGGCAGCTTGGGTTGTATACTCCCCAGGGAGCTGAGAATGAAAATCGAGTGCACAGTGATCCATTGACCGGGGCAATAATAGTGACTTGAATTTGGCGCATAATAAATGCACATATTATTATTATTATTATTATTATTATTATTATTATTATTATTATTAACATACAACATGACATAACATAACTACATATTCCTGTGCCTGTCTTTAGGTGTGACCTTTATGAATCTGTAGCAGTGAAGCCACAGTTCACGTATACTGCGAACGACTTTGATAGCGACGTACAGATGCACTTCGAAAAACTTGATCCACATTTACAATTACATCAGATAAAATCAGCGAGAACACACCTAAAAAGAAACATATTGTAATACTGTCTCCTACATTAAGTGAGTTAATGTTATTGTGAGAGGTTACACCCGGTTCACAGTATTTAGGATGCATGCATATGTTGACATGGCAGTCATAGTACAATTGATACGCCCTTTCGACAAACAAGTCACTGCTTGCAAATAAGTGAGTGAGTATGGTGTTTGTTATACAATGTATCACGACGAGTCAGCTTATTGCGGGAGGAAAGCAAAACCTAGTTCTTCTACAATGTTATTTCAGGTTACTGCTAATATTCTTTTTTATGTGCTTTTACATGTCCCATTTGCTTACGGGGACGATATATGTCTGAGTTACTTTAAGCGAGACGTAGCCGTTTTGTACAATATGCACTGCAGTGGAGCTTATGAACAGGTGATGCTTTCGGTAAGTAAAGATAAGAGTCAAGATATTCGGGTACGTTAAAAGGCTACATTGTGTAATCACAGTGTTGTACTATTGGTTGTTTTAAATTGTACAGCGTATTGTATGCCAGCAACTCCCATAAATTGGGTTATGATGAATTGTATTGCGTCTTTGTACACCAGCATCACCCATTAATACGGTTATGATGAATTGTATTGCGTCTTTGTACACCAGCATCACCCATTAATACGGTTATGATGAATTGTATTGCGTCTTTGTACACCAGCATCACCCATTAATACAGTCATGATGAATTGTATTGCGTCTTTGTACACCAGCATCACCCATTAATACGGTTATGATGAATTGTATTGCGTCTTTGTACACCAGCATCACCCATTAATACGGTCATGATGAATTGTATTGCGTCTTTGTACACCAGCATCACCCATTAACACGGTCATGATGAATTGTATTGCGTCTTTGTACACCAGCATCACCCATTAATACGGTTATGATGATTTGTATTGCGTCTTTGTACACCAGCATCACCCATTAACACGGTCATGATGAATTGTATTGCGTCTTTGTAGACCAGCATCACCCATTAATACGGTTATGATGAATTGTATTGCGTCTTTGTACACCAGCATTACCCATTAATACGGTTATGATGAATTGTATTGCGTCTTTGTACACCAGCATCACCCATTAATACAGTCATGATGAATTGTATTGCGTCTTTGTACACCAGCATCACCCATTAACACGGTTATGATGATTTGTATTGCGTCTTTGTACACCAGCATCACCCATTAATACAGTCATGATGAATTGTATTGCGTCTTTGTACACCAGCATCACCCATTAACACGGTTATGATGATTTGTATTGCGTCTTTGTACACCAGCATCACCCATTAACACGGTCATGATGAATTGTATTGCGTCTTTGTAGACCAGCATCACCAATTAATACGGTTATGATGAATTGTATTGCGTCTTTGTAGACCAGCAGCACCCATTAATACGGTTATGATGAATTGTATTGCGTCTTTGAAGACCAGCATCACCCATTAATACGGTTATGATGAATTGTATTGCGTCTTTGTAGACCAGCATGATCCATTAATACGGTCATGATGAATTGTATTGCGTCTTTGTAGACCAGCATGATCCATTAATACGGTCATGATGAATTGAATTGCGTCTTTGTACACCAGCATCACCCATTAATACGGTTATGATGAATTGTATTGCGTCTTTGTAGACCAGCATGATCCATTAATACGGTCATGATGAATTGTATTGCGTCTTTGTACACCAGCATCACCCATTAATACAGTCATGATGAATTGTATTGCGTCTTTGTACACCAGCATCACCCATTAATACGGTTATGATGATTTGTATTGCGTCTTTGTACACCAGCATCACCCATTAACACGGTTATGATGATTTGTATTGCGTCTTTGTACACCAGCATCACCCATTAATACGGTTATGATGATTTGTATTGCGTCTTTGTACACCAGCATCACCCATTAACACGGTCATGATGAATTGTATTGCGTCTTTGTAGACCAGCATGATCCATTAATACGATCATGATGAATTGTATTGCGTCTTTGTACACCAGCATCACCCATTAATACAGTCATGATGAATTGTATTGCGTCTTTGTACACCAGCATCACCCATTAATACGGTTATGATGATTTGTATTGCGTCTTTGTACACCAGCATCACCCATTAACACGGTCATGATGAATTGTATTGCGTCTTTGTAGACCAGCATCACCCATTAATACGGTTATGATGAATTGTATTGCGTCTTTGTACACCAGCATCACCCATTAACACGGTTATGATGAATTGTATTGCGTCTTTGTAGACCAGCATCACCCATTAATACGGTTATGATGAATTGTATTGCGTCTTTGTAGACCAGCATCACCCATTAACACGGTTATGATGAATTGTATTGCGTCTTTGTAGACCAGCATCACCCATTAATACGGTTATGATGAATTGTATTGCGTCTTTGTAGACCAGCATCACCCATTAACACGGTTATGATGAATTGTATTGCGTCTTTGTAGACCAGCATCACCCATTAACACGGTTATGATGAATTGTATTGCGTCTTTGTAGACCAGCATCACCCATTAATACGGTTATGATGAATTGTATTGCGTCTGTGTAGACCAGCATCACCCATTAACACGGTTATGATGAATTGTATTGCGACTTTGTAGACCAGCATCACCCATTAACACGGTTATGATGAATTGTATTGCGTCTTTGTAGACCAGCATCACCCATTAATACGGTTATGATGAATTGTATTGCGTCTTTGTACACCAGCATCACCCATTAATACGGTTATGATGAATTGTATTGCGTCTTTGTACACCAGCATCACCCATTAACACGGTTATGATGATTTGTATTGCGTCTTTGTACACCAGCATCACCCATTAACACGGTCATGATGAATTGTATTGCGTCTTTGTACACCAGCATCACCCATTAACACGGTCATGATGAATTGTATTGCGTCTTTGTAGACCAGCATCACCCATTAACACGGTTATGATGAATTGTATTGCGTCTTTGTACACCAGCATCACCCATTAACACGGTCATGATGAATTGTATTGCGTCTTTGTAGACCAGCATCACCCATTAATACGGTTATGATGAATTGTATTGCGTCTTTGTAGACCAGCATCACCCATTAACACGGTTATGATGAATTGTATTGCGTCTTTGTAGACCAGCATCACCCATTAATACGGTTATGATGAATTGTATTGCGTCTTTGTACACCAGCATCACCCATTAACACGGTTATGATGATTTGTATTGCGTCTTTGTACACCAGCATCACCCATTAACACGGTCATGATGAATTGTATTGCGTCTTTGTAGACCAGCATCACCCATTAATACGGTTATGATGAATTGTATTGCGTCTTTGTAGACCAGCAGCACCCATTAATACGGTTATGATGAATTGTATTGCGTCTTTGAAGACCAGCATCACCCATTAATACGGTTATGATGAATTGTATTGCGTCTTTGTACACCAGCATGATCCATTAATACGGTCATGATGAATTGTATTGCGTCTTTGTAGGCCAGCATGATCCATTAATACGGTCATGATGAATTGAATTGCGTCTTTGTACACCAGCATCACCCATTAATACGGTTATGATGAATTGTATTGCGTCTTTGTAGACCAGCATGATCCATTAATACGGTCATGATGAATTGTATTGCGTCTTTGTACACCAGCATCACCCATTAATACGGTTATGATGAATTGTATTGCGTCTTTGTACGCCAGCATCACCCATTAATACGGTCATGATGAATTGTATTGCGTCTTTGTACACCAGCATCACCCATCAATACGGTTATGATGAATTGTATTGCGTCTTTGTACACCAGCATCACCCATTAATACGGTTATGATGAATTGTTTTTGTATGTTACGCAGCCCTTCTGGAGCTCTGCAGTATATTCTAAAGCCGTGTCTGTCGCTTGTAACAAGCGAATGAGTGGGTGTTTGTTTGTTAAGCCTTGCAGCCAGCAATTATTCCAGCTAACCACGGCAGCCTCCGATCACTGGAAAGTCCAGAATACACACAAACTTTCCCCCAGTGTGTCCTACCCGTTTAAACACCAGATGTTTTGGTTGACTGACGAGATACTGCATGGAACCCATCTTCCCGAGGCAAGAGAGTTAACTGACTTTAAAAGTCCAGTTGGACTTTAATAGTCAGTTAACTCACTTGCCTCGGGAAGATGCATTGAACCATGCTCCACGGGCACAATGACATACAGTCGGCCAAATCTGCGAGCAATGCCCACCCGAGCCCTGGGAGTCGGGATACTTCGGACCTTGCTTAACAACCACATTTCAGGTATCCTCTCATCTGTCATACCAGTTACAATAGCTATTGCTAGAAATTGGTTACTGAATGGTAAATTGGTTACTGAACTATCCTGTGACAAGATATGGTTACTGAACTATCCTGTGTCAAGATATGGTTACTGAACTATCCTGTGACAAGACATGGTTAATGAACCATCCTGTGTCAAGATATGGTTATTGAACTATCCTGTGTCAAGATATGGTTACTGAACTATCCTGTGTCAAGATATGGTTATTGAAGGTGAGGTGATATGGGGGTTAACGTCGCGTCCAAGATTATTGCACTTATATAGCGACGTTATGGTTATTGAACTATCCTGTGTCAAGATATGGTTACTGAACTATCCTGTGGCAAGATATGGTTACTGAACGATCCTGTGTCAAGATATGGTTACTGAACTATCCTGTGACAAGACATGGTTAATGAACCATCCTGTGTCAAGATATGGTTATTGAACTATCCTGTGTCAAGATATGGTAACTGAACTATCCTGTGTCAAGACATGGTTACTGAACTATCCTGTGTCAAGATATGGTTAATGAACCATCCTGTGTCAAGATATGGTTACTGAACTATCCTGTGTCAAGACATGGTTACTGAACTATCCTGTGTCAAGATATGGTAACTGAACTATCCTGTGTCAAGATATGGTTATTGAACTATCCTGTGTCAAGATATGGTTACTGAACTATCCTGTGTCAAGATATGGTTACTGAACTATCCTGTGTCAAGACATGGTTACTGAACTATCCTGTGTCAAGATATGGTAACTGAACTATCCTGTGTCAAGACATGGTCACTGAACTATCCTGTGTCAAGATATGGTTATTGAACTATCCTGTGTCAAGATATGGTAACTGAACTATCCTGTGTCAAGATATGGTTACTGAACTATCCTGTGACAAGATATTGTTACTGAACTATCCTGTGTCAAGATATGGTTACTGAACTATCCTGTGACAAGATATGGTTACTGAACTATCCTGTGACAAGATATGGTTACTGAACTATCCTGTGTCAAAATATGTTTACTGAACTATCCTGTGACAAGATATGGTTACTGAACTATCCTGTGTCAAGACATGGTTACTGAACTATCCTGTGTCAAGATATGGTTACTGAACTTTCCTTTTTCTTGGAGGTGTCAAAAATCCATCTTACAAAGAATGAATGATTTGATTTGTAGAAATATGGTACATATACACATGATCACATATACAGGAAAATCTGTTAATATAGGTTCAATTAATGTCATATAACTAACACTGGATGGGTTTCTGGATAACTTGAAGGAAATAATGGTAGAACTTAATGTCTTAACATTTTAAAAGCAAGCATAATAGGTTCAACAGTAATCTGAAGGAGGTAGCGGAGGACTGGGCAACACTTTGTTTACCTCTTAGTTCAATCATTATGATGTATATTAATTTACAAGTTACCAATGATACACAGAAACATGTCTGTATCACACGGTACCAATAACAAGACCCGTGAAGATCCATGCTTGCCGTAAAAGGTGACTGTGCTTGTTGTAAGAGGGGACCAACAGGATCAGGTGGTCAGGCTTGCTTACTTGGATGTCATCGTGTCCCAATTTCGTGGAACGATGCTCATGACATTGATCACTGGACTGTCTGGTCCAGACTTGATTATTTACAGGCCGTCTTCATATAGCTGGAAGTCTGCTGACTGCAGTGTTAAACAACAAACAAACAAACAAACTGATTACAATGTCGACACCTATACTGATTGTTTTGTTTGTTTATTAGTTTGTTGTTTAACATCACACATTGCTGCCTGTAAAAAACCCGTCTGGACCAGACAAACGAGTGATTGATATTATGAGCAACAGGGCATGATAACAAACTATTAACCGAGTCATCTGACTCATCTTGTCGCCTGTTACAACTGGCATAGATTGCTGGGATCTATTTCCAGGCCAGAATCCCCAAAGGGGTGGACTTTAACTGACCATGAAGCACCTTCTTCTCAAAGATGACCTCATCTGGACAAAAGTATGGCAACACTGGTTTCCAAACCATGTCCCTTGACATTGATGGATTTACCAGACGTTAACACAGATTTCATTATCCAACCAGTATACCTGTGAAAGAAATAAAATAACAGTGGTTCCAGGTAACTCACACAGTCAGACAAACAAATCTGAAAGGATTTCTGGTCATAGTCCAAAAGTGAGAAATATGTGTTCTTGAAATGCCTTTATTGGTTAGATTTTATAAATCTATATTTGTTGAGATACATCCACATACACATTTGTTGAATATTTACATAAGTACATAATACATACATATATACACATAGCCACACAGCCTAGCTCAGCTCTGCTGCATGCACGCACCAGTACACATAAGTATAACAGCACAAGTATCTTTGTTCTGGTATCTGCTCAGAAACATCAACTGCACAAACCAAGTAAATATTTCCTTGATATTGTACTAACCAAACTTGAACTGGTTAAGCACACTGGTGCATATACACTTTAAACATATAGCAGTATCGGCACAACTCATTATAGGATGTCAAGATCTGACCATAGACAAATGTCAAGTCTATATATATTTGGTTCATTCGGACTTAATCTTGTCTCATCCTAATGCATGAGTCACAATCAAAGCATATATTTAGTAGCTGGTGTTACCTATGTACATCCAATACACCCAGTGCTGAGAGTGGACAGTGCCAATCAGCCTAGCTCGGTTGCCCCATCGAGTACACTACGCAAGCTACCGTATTTGACTTAATAAGAGCCTTGGGAGCCCAGAAAATTGACATGAAGTGAAATGAAATGGGGTTTAACGTGGCGTTAAAGTTTCTTGCAGTTATATCACAACGTGTGTGTGTGTGTGTGTGTGTGTGTGTGTGTGTGTGTGTTTGTGTGTGTGTGTGCAAGCTATATCATTTATGGCGAGCTACATTTGTTTTCAGAGATAGAGCAGTAGTGAACAAACATACTAGAAACATCATTGGAAAGGAATGTTTTTATAATGGTTACCAGGCAATAACATTCCACTTCTACACTGCTGTTTTGACAAAATAATCTGCAACATACACAAGAAAGTAAGGACTGTCACATCAGTTTTCGGTATTATCAGGGGACCATTTTAAAGATAACTTACAGACTGGTCTTGAAGTTGATCTGGGGGTGCTTAATGTTGTATGTCAGTTTGAGGTCAAGGATATCACACAGCCAGGATCTGCCAGTTTGAGGTCAAGGACACCAAACAGCCAGGATCTGCCAGTTTGAGGTCAAGGACATCACAGCCAGTACCTGCCAGTTTGAGGTCAAGGACATCACAGCCAGTACCTGCCAGTTTGAGGTCAAGGACATCACACAGCCAGTACCTGCCAGTTTGAGGTCAAGGACATCACACAGCCAGGATCTGCCAGTTTAAGGTCAAGGACATCACACAGCCAGTACCTGCCAGTTTGAGGTCAAGGACATCACACAGCCAGGATCTGCCAGTTTGAGGTCAAGGACACCAAACAGCCAGGATCTGCCAGTTTGATGTCAAGGACAAAAATACTGATCTATAATTCCATCATTAATCTCAACCTGTGTTGAACAATCTTATGCTTTATAAGATGCTGCTTTGCTTAGTGTACTTTCTTGTGAAATGTGACGTGATGGACTCGCAACTGTAGGCAATTTGAAATCATTAACTCAAGTTTACAATATCAGACATGTAACACAGAGAGGGTGTCCCTGAACTCTTCATCCACCAGGAATATCTAATTAGTAATCACAGTCTCAATACCGTGGTTCTGCTCTAACCTTAGCTTATACCAGATGCAAACTATATCAGCTAGCATAGAAATTTGAAATGGACACAACTACTACAGGAACCCAATGGGATGTCCAAAGCAGTGTTCAATATTAAGGGGGGTCCTGAAGATTTGGTCCTTAGGTATTTGAATGTACAGACCATCTAAATCTTTAACTTCTAACAGCAGGCTTATGACAAGGACCCCAGGATGTCCATGCTTAGTTTGGATCACTGCAAAAGTAGTGCTGTTTGAATCACAAAAACTAATCCACATTTGATCCAACTGTGGTTTCTATTCTGAAACAAAATACAATCGAACTTCAAACTATCCATTTCAGCATTCCTTTATGTTTAAGTTTCATTTCAACCAAGGAATCCCCATCTATAATCAGTACCTGGTGACTGCCATCTTATGTCCAGGACCCTCCCCAAATTATTACTGAAAGCCGGCGAAACTCACAAACCAGTAGTGAACCCCAACACCATACACACTAGAACACACAAGCCACATTACTGATGGTCAGTCAATCCTTATGTCATATAGCTACAAAACAGTTAACCCGACAACAAAACCTTTGGCTACATATTTGTTCATAATGGCAAGATGGAGATACAAGCAGTTTGAGGTTAAGGACACTACACAGCCAGGACGTATCAGTTTAAGGTCAAGGCCACCACACAGCCAGGATGTATCAGTTAAAGGTCAAGGCCACCACACAGCCAGGACCTGCCAGTTTGAGGTCATGGGCTTCACACATTGTATCCATGTTAGGCATCTAACCCCACCCTCGGCATGATGGCCAAATGTACCTGACAAAACCTTGTCAACTTGCCAACCCGCCAGTAATGATGTCAGGCCATTAAAGTTGGAACAGGGCCCCCATTCCACAGGAGTTACGATAGCAGCATTGCTGAGATCACATTCCCATCCATAAGCAATCACAGGTGCTACGTCTGTCATAAGTGTATGTAAAGTTTACAATTGTCTTAGGTACAATCCCTATTTGGAATGAGCTCTGGAGGAGTGAATTCCGACTGCCATCTAGCAGGTTGAGGCAACACTATCATACTGTACGTCACTTTAGGAACTGTCACCAGAATAATATTTGTACTTGCCTGTCTGCACTATTTAGGTAGCCTCGAAAAATACACGTTAATAAATCATAATATATTATGAGTCTCACTGGACATAGCAATGTAAGAAAACAAACTAATCTCTGACAGTAATCATAATTTGGTACAATACAGAAAGCAAACATCCACGTCTCAGCTAGGTGAAGCATTTACTCCTTTCCACTATGCAGACAACATCATGCGAAATATAAACATTCATATTTTGTTTTTATTTTGACAGGTCTCAGGTCATCTTAAACATTTGTAAAGGATCAAAATCAAAACTCCTGGGATCTTATGTGTTCATGACGGAGACCTCCAAAAGTTGAGGTGATAATTATCTGATGATGAAGATGCTGGTTCATGCAATCTTTGACAGCAACGAAGCCTCAGCAGTGATGCTCCAAGGAAACTTCAGTGGAGAGATGCTGCTCATCTAGTCTTGTTTTGTGTATTCAATCTACATCACCATCTTTACCACAGCAGCATCTTATGCTCCAACACACAGTCCACAATGTTGGTTCTCAGGTTTTGCAATACAGTGAGTGAGTGAGTGAGTTGGGTTTAACGCCACTTTTAAGTATTCCAGTTATATCACGGCGTGTCAGCTTAATGTGGGAGTAAAGCCCCAAGTGATGCAGGTCTCAGATATTTACCACTTCGGTGAAACCCACAAGCACAGGTATGTGCTGACAAACCTAGAAACATAATCAGGGCGAAATGGGATTCGATCTGACAATCAGGGGTTTCTGGTGTGCCCAAGGGACGCAACTCTGCACAGCTAATTGCGGCGCCTTAGGCGATTGGGCCACCCCCGTGCCCCCCTTTTGCAATACAGAAGAATTACATGAGCTATTTTGCCTTACACTGCTTCTACAAGCCACTCAGCTACATCAAGGATACCTGGTTGGAATAGAACAGGAAATGTACCCTGGAGAACTAGCAATGGCCAGTGACATAGGGATGACCCACTGACTTAAGCAGCAGGTTGAGGCCCATGAATAACTATGTACACAGTTTTATCAAGAAAGAATAGCACTTAAGTTTGGATTATCAAAGCAAAATGCCTTCACATGAACATTCAACTTTCTTGTTTAGACACACAACCTTGTTTTCTTTATCATGACAGTGTTAATTCCAGTGATTCAGTGAAATCTCTGCATTGGCTCCCATCTGCACCAGTATTTATACACTGATTACATTTTGTAGACATCAAGGGAAAGAAATAAAAAAATATCATATCATTGAATAATAAAATGTTTTGATGAATTTTTGATTTCTTTGTTTTCTCAACTGTGAGACAATATGCAAAGCTGAATGTTACTCTACAAGTTAAACCAATGAATCTTTCACTTAAACATCTTCATCAACAAAATACTTGTTCATGCAAGTGCAACCTGTCAAGCACTGTGGTCAAGCTCCAAGCTCTTTACACAGTTCTACATATCACAGTTCTTGTCACAAGAGGGAGATGGGAGTTCATATTGCACAGTTTGTCTGTAATCTCAATCTGCCCAGAAACACAGTCTCTGCACAATCCTTGACCTTGTGCAGTCACTGTCCTTGACCTTGCAGCCACTGTCCTTGACCTTGCAGTCACTGTCCTTGACCTTGCAGTCACTGTCCTTGATCTTGCAATCACTGTCCTTGACTGCACAGAGACAGTCTGTGACCTTGCAAGTGAATATCCTTGCAACTGCACACTTGTCCTTGACCTTGCATGGTGACTGACCTTGAGCTTTCTCTTGTTCTGTTGCTGTGAAGACATTGAGTGAGACTGGGCAATGTGGCAGAGCTTCCTCTTGTTCCGTTGTGTTTCCTGTCCGTGTGCTGCTGTGAAGACATTGAGTGAGACTGGGCTATGTGGCGGAGTACCTCTGCAGGAGCAGTGCCTGGCAGCTATCGCAAACTCTCACAGGCTTTGACGACGATGGAAGAGGCATTTTATTGTCGGAACACTCATTACAAAAAATATCTCCACAGTTTCGACAGTGGTGCTGAAATCAGAAGACGTTCATATTACATGTGTTGTCATACACAAAATCTGAAACGTGACAAATAATATCAGGTATTTCTTTGTCAGACTCTTGCATGTTAAAACCTACCAACATTTGTTCTAGTATACAATTGAAAAGTATCCTTCTTCTAATACATGGCAAAACTAGTGCCACAGAACTACAGTTCCTTATCAAAGTTTCAGTGATGACATTTCAACATGTGCTGCATGCATATTGAGGACTTTCCTGTACACAATATAAATTCTGAGCCATTTATTCTACAGATATCAACTTCTAAGGGTTCAACAAAGTAAATCATTTAAGTACACATGGTGTAAATGACAACTACTTCTCCCCAAACCCCCACCTCCAATTCCCTGACACACGAAACAAGTGACCTCCCTCCTCCCTGACACAAGGTACGACCTCCCTCCTCCCTGACACAAGACACAAGTGACACCCCTCCTCCCTGACACAGGGCACAACTTCCCCCTTCCCTGACACACGAAACAAGTGACCTCCCTCCTCCCTGACACAGGGCACAACTTCCCCCTTCCCCGACACATGACACGAGAGACCTCCCTTCTTCCTGACACAAGGCACTACCTCCCGCTTCGATGTCACAAGACACAAGTGACCTCTCTCCTCCCTGACACAAAGCACATGTGACCTCCCTCCTCCCTGACACAAGGCACAAGTGACCTCCCTCCTCCCTGACATAAGGCACTACCTTCCTCCCTGACACAAGGCACAAGTGACCTCCCTCCTCCCTGACATAAGGCACGACCTCCCTCCCCCCTGACACATAACACATGTGACCTTCCCCCTTCCCTGACACAAGACACAAGTGACCTCCCTCCTCCCTGACACAAGGCACAAGTGACCTCCCTCCTCCCTGACATAAGGCACTACCTTCCTCCCTGACACAAGACACAAGTGACCTCCCTCCTCCCTGACACAAGGCACAAGTGACCTCCCTCCTCCCTGACACATAACACATGTGACTTTCCCCCTTCCCTGACACAAGACACAAGTGACCTCCCTCCTCCCTGACACAAGACACAAGTGACCTCCCTCCTCCCTGACACAAGGCACAAGTGACCTCCCTCCTCCCTGACATAAGGCACTACCTTCCTCCCTGACACAAGACACAAGTGACCTCCCTCCTCCCTGACACAAGGCACAAGTGACCTCCCTCCTCCCTGACATATAACACATGTGACTTTCCCCCTTCCCTGACACAAGACACAAGTGACCTCCCTCCTCCCTGACACAAGACACAAGTGACCTCCCTCCTCCCTGACACAAGGCACAAGTGACCTCCCTCCTCCCTGACACAAGACACAGGTGACCTCCCTCCTCCCTGACACAAGACACAAGTGACCTCCCTCCTCCCTGACACAAGGCACAAGTGACCTCCCTCCTCCCTGACACAAGGCACAAGTGACCTCCCTCCTCCCTGACACAAGTGACCTTCCTTCTCCCTGACACAAGACACAAGTGACCTCCCTCCTCCCTGACACAAGGCACAAGTGACCTCCCTCCTCCCTGACACAAGGCACAAGTGACCTCCCTCCTCCCTGACACAAGACACAAGTGACCTCCCTCTTCCCTGACACAAGACACAAGTGACCTCCCTCCTCCCTGACACAAGGCACAAGTGACCTCCCTCCTCCCTGACACAAGGCACAAGTGACCTCCCTCCTGCCTGACACAAGACACAAGTGACCTCCCTCCTCCCTGACACAAGGCATGACCTCCCTCCTCCATAACACAAGGCACGACCTCCCTCCTCCCTGACACAAGGCTGACCTCCCTCTCCGACACAAGGCACGACCTCCCTCCTCCCTGACACAAGGCTGACCTCCCTCTCCGACACAAGGCACGACCTCCCTCCTCCCTGACACAAGGCACGACCTCCCTCCCCCCTGACACAAGGCACGACCTCCCTCTTCTCTGACACATAACACATGTGACCTTCCGCCTTCCCTGACACATGACACAAGTGACCTCTGAGTCTAGGTAGATGAACTAGTCACCTTTCTCCTGGATATAGAGAAGTCCTTGCTGCACTGTTTACAGGATGTGGCTGCGTTGTCCCCCACCCACTGCGCCTCCTTCAGCACCAGGTTGGCTTCCCGCATGTCCTCCACCTTCAACTTGGACCTGCAACACCCACGTAGTTCATCAACCTTCTGTCACACAGCAGTCAGCAATATTTCACCTTCATCAAGATGGTCTGGACCTATATCTTTTTTGGAATTTCCACTCAAAACCATGTAGCAAATCATATTATTATACTAGCAAAGAGATTCATCTACATATCAAACATAAAACAACAAGATTTATATTTCGAACAATTTCTTTCACTACTAAAAGACACTATTTGTTTGGAAAGGTATATCGCTAAAAAAAATAATCAATTTAACCAATATGCTCAGAAATAGCAAAACTTACATCTCATAATCTAATGAAGCAGTTGAAACATATTACCTGTTAATAAGTAATCATCTATTTCTTGTAAACAATTATCTGTAATCTCCCTCTCAGTTTGAGAAGAACCTTAATAACGACATATCCTACACAACCTACCTGTCCTCACCTATGAAAATAACTTGTGTTAATACTGTCATATATACACATGTTAATACCTACACTTGTAACATTATACATGAAATGGAATAATGAAAAAACAAGGAAAAAAAAGATGGTCTGGACCAGATAAATCAGAGATTTATATTACGAGCAACAACCCAGATAGTCGGTGTATTATGACCACCAGCTTTATTTCAGTTGTCTGTTACAACAAGCAAAGGTTGCGGGGGACCTACTTGAAGAGGGAACTGTTGTGCATCGGGTGCTTCAACACAAGCATAGGTTGCCATGGAACTGGTGTCAATTAGTGTGTGTGTGTTTCAGTTTTACATTATTCTTACAAAGCGAGGATTAAGTTACAGCTGTTCTGCCTTCAAGGTCATTTGGGCATAAATGCTTTACAGTTGGGTTACTAAGGCCATAGTCCAGTGCTTGGGGTAAGGGTCACTCTGTCCAGTGCTTGGGGTAAGGGTCACTCTGTCCAGTGCTTGGGGTAAGGGTCACTCTGTCCAGTGCTTGGGGTAAGGGTCACTCTGTCCAGTGCTTGGGGTAAGGGTCACTCTGTCCAGTGCTTGGGGTAAGGGTCACTCTATCCAGTACTTGGGGTAAGGGTCACTCTGTCCAGTACTTGGGGTAATGTGTCACTCTGTCTAGTGCTTGGCGTATTGGGTCACTGTCCTGCGCTTGGCGTATTACTGCTGGGACACTCTGTCTTGGCCTATTGGTTTACTCCGTCCAGTGCTTAGCGTATTAATACTGTGTCACTGTCCAGTGCTTAGCGTATTACTCCTGTGTCACTCCGTCCAGTGCTTAGCGTATTAATACTGTGTCACTGTCCAGTGCTTAGTGTATTACTCCTGTGTCACTCCGTCCAGTGTTTAGCGTATTAATACTGTGTCACTGTCCAGTGCTTAGCGTATTACTCCTGTGCATAGGACACCATGTGGTGTTTCAGATAAGCAGATGAACTTCAGTTCAGGAGATATTTCCTGCCAGTACATACTCGCTGAGATGAGATCCAAGCTCAGACAAGGCTTTTTCCTGTTCCTCACACGTCTGACTGAGATGCTCGTGTTTTTGCCGCAGACCGTCATACTCCTGAAACAAGCAACATCAGTCAGTACATTCCTCACCTTCACCTCACTCAGAGATCTTAACACTATTTATACAAGTCATAACCTCTACATCTCAAAAAGTGCACTACATGGTACTTCCAGTCTTTCATTCCCTAGGTCACTACCTGCTGAATTATCTGATTACTAATGCCATCTAATCAATGTTTTCATCAAGCAGTCTTTGATACGGTTTACCACCTGGAAGGAGGACATGAACCCGAATGTTCTACACTGTGTGGACAGATACAAAGGACTGGAAGCTGAAGTGAGTCAATAAGCAGGAATGTAAATACTAGAAGAAGTCTGGTTAGGGGGCAGCACCAGTCTCCCTACAAGGGTCAAGTGAGTGAGTGAGTGAGTGAGTGAGTGAGTGAGTGAGTGAGTGAGTGAGTGAGTGAGTGAGTGAGTGAGTGAGTGAGTGAGTGAGTGAGTGAGTGAGTGAGTGAGTGAGTGAGTGAGTGAGTGAGTGAGTGAGTGAGTGAGTGAGTGAGTGAGTGAGTGAGTGAGTGAGTGAGTGAGTGAGTGAGTGAGTGAGTGAGTGAGTGAGTGAGTGAGTGAGTGAGTGAGTGAGTGAGTGAGTGAGTGAGTGAGTGAGTGAGTGAGTGAGTGAGTGAGTGAGTGAGTGAGTGAGTGAGTGAGTGAGTGAGTGAGTGAGTGAGTGAGTGAGTGAGTGAGTGAGTGAGTGAGTGAGTGAGTGAGTGAGTGAGTGAGTGAGTGAGTGAGTGAGTGAGTGAGTGAGTGAGTGAGTGAGTGAGTGAGTGAGTGAGTGAGTGAGTGAGTGAGTTATGGTTTAGTGCAGCTTTCGTAATAATGCAGAATTATCACAGCGGGGGACACAAGTAAGACATTCTACCCATGTGGGAAATTGAACCCAGGTCTTCGGCATGATGAGTGAACACTTAAACCAAAAGGCTACCCTACCACCCCTCAAGGGTCTAGTTATGAAGCAGCATCAGCCTCCTTATAAGGTAGACACAATTTTATGGATAACAACTTCTTTAATACTGTAAAAAGCGACAATGTCTTGCTTGACAACAGTATAAGGATCTATACCGAAATGTCCATAAAATTGTGTCTACCTTGTCATCCGTCAACTTTTAAGTAATGCCTTTCAAACAATCTAGCCTCTATAAAGGGTCTAGTTATGAAGCAGCATCAGCCTCCCAATGAGGGTCTAGTTATGAAGCAGCATCAGCCTCCCCACGAGGGTCTAGTTATGAAGCAGCATCAGCCTCTACAAGGGTCTAGTTATGAAGCAGCATCAGCCTCCCCACAAGGGTCTAGTTATGAAGCAGCATCAGCCTCCCAACAAGGGTCTAGTTATGAAGCAGCATCAGCCTCTACAAGGGTCTAGTTATGAAGCAGCATCAGCCTCTACAAGGGTCTAGTTATGAAGCAGCATCAGCCTCCCAACAAGGGTCTAGTTATGAAGCAGCATCAGCCTCTACAAGGGTCTAGTTATGAAGCAGCATCAGCCTCCCTACAAGGGTCTAGTCATGAAGCAGCATCAGCCTTTCTACAACATCCTAGTTATGAAGCAGCATCAGCCTCTACAAGGTCTAGTTATGAAGCAGCATCAGCCTCCCTACAAGCGTCTAGTTATGAAGCAGCATCAGCCTCCCCACAAGGGTCAAGTTATGAAGCAGCATCTGCCTCCCTACATGGGTCTAGTTATGAAGCAGCATCAGCCTCCCACAAGGGTCTAGTTATGAAGTAGCAAGGATCTGGTGGCAGCATCTTTACCTTTTTGAGGTCCTTCATATGCTGTAACTCCATCAGCAGCTGGCTGCCATGTGTCTTCTCTTCCTCCAGATTGTGCTGCAATGTGCTGCGCCATTCCCGCTCAATCCGCAGGTCCGTCTCCAGGGCCGTGCTGCAACAACAATACACACAATCTTAACTACGACCTGTTTACTGGAAGTCAGTGTCAGGGACAACCTGTTTACTGAATTCAGTGGCAGAGAGAATCTTTTTACTGAAGTTAATGGCAGGGAACAACCTGTTTACTGAAGTAAGTGGTAGGGACAATCTGTTCACTGAAGTTAGTGGCAGGGACAATCTGTTTACTGAAGTCAGTGGCAGGGACAATCTGTTTACTGAAGTCAGTGGCAGGGACAATCTGTTTACTGAAGTGGCAGGGACAATCTGTTTACTGAAGTCAGTGGCAGGGACAATCTGTTTACTGAAGTCAGTGGCAGGGACAATCTGTTTACTGAAGTCAGTGGCAGGGACAATCTGTTTACTGAAGTGGCAGGTACAACCTGTTTACTGAAGTAAGTGGTAGGGACAATCTGTTCACTGAAGTTAGTGGCAGGGACAATCTGTTTACTGAAGTCAGTGGCAGGGACAATCTGTTTACTGAAGTCAGTGGCAGGGACAATCTGTTTACTGAAGTGGCAGGGACAATCTGTTTACTGAAGTCAGTGGCAGGGACAATCTGTTTACTGAAGTCAGTGGCAGGGACAATCTGTTTACTGAAGTCAGTGGCAGGGACAATCTGTTTACTGAAGTGGCAGGTACAATCTGTTTACTGAAGTCAGTGGCAGGGACAATCTGTTTACTGAAGTCAGTGGCAGGGACAATCTGTTAACTGAAGTGGCAGGGACAATCTGTTTACTGAAGTCAGTGGCAGGGACAATCTGTTTACTGAAGTCAGTGGCAGGGACAATCTGTTTACTGAAGTCAGTGGCAGGGACAATCTGTTTACTGAAGTGGCAGGGACAATCTGTTTACTGAAGTCAGTGGCAGGGACAATCTGTTTACTGAAGTCAGTGGCAGGGGACAATCTGTTTACTGAAGTGGCAGGGGACAATCTGTTTACTGAAGTCAGTGGCAGGGACAATCTGTTTACTGAAGTGGCAGGGACAATCTGTTTACTGAAGTCAGTGGCAGGGACAATCTGTTTACTGAAGTCAGTGGCAGGGGACAATCTGTTTACTGAAGTCAGTGGCAGGGGACAACCTGTTTACTGAAGTTAGTTGCAGGGACAATCTGTTTACTAAAGTAAGTGGCAGGGGACAATCTGTTTACTGAAGTAAGTGGCAGGCAAGAACCTGTTTACTGAAGTCAGTGGCAGGGGACAATCTGTTTACTGAAGTCAGTGGCAGGGACAATCTGTTTACTGAAGTCAGTGGCAGGGACAATCTGTTTACTGAAGTGGCAGGGACAATCTGTTTACTGAAGTCAGTGGCAGGGACAATCTGTTTACTGAAGTCAGTGGCAGGGGACAATCTGTTTACTGAAGTGGCAGGGGACAATCTGTTTACTGAAGTCAGTGGCAGGGACAATCTGTTTACTGAAGTGGCAGGGACAATCTGTTTACTGAAGTCAGTGGCAGGGACAATCTGTTTACTGAAGTCAGTGGCAGGGGACAATCTGTTTACTGAAGTCAGTGGCAGGGGACAACCTGTTTACTGAAGTTAGTTGCAGGGACAATCTGTTTACTAAAGTAAGTGGCAGGGGACAATCTGTTTACTGAAGTAAGTGGCAGGCAAGAACCTGTTTACTGAAGTCAGTGGCAGGGGACAATCTGTTTACTGAAGTTAGTTGCAGGGACAATCTGTTTACTAAAGTAAGTGGCAGGGGACAACCTGTTTACTGAAGTCAGTGGCAGGGGACAAACTGTTTACTGAAGTCAGTGGCAGGGACAAACTGTTTACTGAAGTAAGTGGCAGAGGACAACCTGTTTACTGAAGTCAGTGGCAGGGGACAATCTGTTTACTGAAGTCAGTGGCAGGGACAATCTGTTTACTGAAGTTAGTTGCAGGGACAATCTGTTTACTAAAGTAAGTGGCAGGGGACAATCTGTTTACTGAAGTCAGTGGCAGGCAAGAACCTGTTTACTGAAGTCAGTAGCAGGCAAGAACCTGTTTACTGAAGTCAGTGGCAGGCAAGAACCTGTTTACTGAAGTCAGTGGCAGGCAAGAACCTGTTTACTGAAGTCAGTGGGAGGGAACAACCTGTTTACTGAAGTCAGTGGCAGGGAACAACCTGTTTACTGAAGTCAGTGGCAGGCAAGAACCTGTTTACTGAAGTCAGTGGCAGGGAACAACCTGTTTACTGAAGTCAGTGGCAGGGGACAACCTGTTTACTTAACATTCACCTATAAGCTGTAATGATGCTGTTCTAATAGATCAGACAAGTGAGAACTTTGAGTTTTTTGTCATGAGGATCGGACAAGTATTTACATACCTAGGGCCTTGACATCTTATACTGAACTTACTGTAATGACAACTCACAAAGAAAGAAGCACTGACATTTTGTTTGTTTGTGGTTTTTGGTTCACCTATATCATGAAGGTTCCAACCACCACCTTCATTCATAGTTTGAAATATCAAGGGAGGGATTGATTTAACTGCTGGCGTGTTGGCCTGTGGCTGGTTAAAATTACAAAGGGCTTGCTGAAATGTAAAGTAGATGGTTCGTCTGGCTAGTCAATATTTCACCCCTTCTATGTGTATGTATAATTTATTTGAATTGGATCATCTCAGTAGAATGACATCTGGTCGCCATTTTGTAATGTTGTGTACAACAACTTTTTTATTTCCTCATAAATCGCCATCAAATGAAGCAAATGGAAGCCAGATATAATCTCTGAGTGCAGGGACAAAACGTTTTTTTGGTGAGGAGTTCAAAAATGGTAAGAGCCCTGCTAGGTGGCTACATCTTCTCAGGTTCGGCCACTTTGCAGCCTCCCCCATGGTTGTAGGCCAGTTAGTTTGGAGAAGTGACAGTAACTGTAAAAGGAGTTAGCCCTGTTGGCTACATACAAATTTGTTGTTAAATCTACCCCTGCAAGGAGCTAACAGACTTGTTAGTATTACAAGCATAATCCAGGAAAATGTCATGACCATGGATGATTATCGCTGGTGTTTAATTTTCACACCACGACAGACTTCGTCAGAGTGTACAACTGACATCAGGGACATTTCACAAGCACAAATTTTCAGCCAAAGGATGAAACTGTGAGATTCAAAATGTTGAGTTCATCCACCTGTCTGGATTTCATTTGTGACTGACATAATAACTGACATGTCATACAAACTGCAAACTATACTATCTTAACCTTCACACAGAGCAGGAGGTGAAGGTTTGTCTACTTTCATGCTGTATACATGGACTTTCAAAGGTCTGATTCCTCCCCTTCGCACAGACATGTTTCCAGTTGATCCGACAGCAGGCAATTCCACATGTACCTAATTGTATTTCCCACTATCAACAAAAACATTAAATTTTTCATGAATCGTGTATGTAACTTATGTTTCTGTGCAAATGCATCATGTACATTTATTTCAATGAATAAACCTACATTGCAAGGCATCCATTCTAGTTTTTGTCTATTCCAAAAAAACTTGCACATGTATACATCGCTCTATCAATAGGCTATATATCCATGCATATAAAACAGACTTGCTCATTATTACTGTATACATTCTTATTGGACATTATCTGATGCTGTCACTTACTGGCACACTGCACAAGCACTTGGTCACAACAACTTAACAAACATGATGAAATCTATTTCAGAACCTATACAGTTAAGCAACACATACACAAACCACTGTGCCACATAACAGATCAGTCTATCATGTCACTCAGGCCGCCCCGGCTTCACCCGATACATCTGACATATTCAACCATACTCCAGAGTGGCTCCGCTGGTAATGGTTGTGCCACCAGTAGTGAGTGAGTGAGTGAGTTGGGTTTAACTCCGCTTTTAACAATATTCCTGTTATATCAAGGCGTGTCAGCTTAATGTGGGAGGAAAGCTCGAGTGAGTGAGTGAGTATGGTTTAACGCTGCTTTTAGCAATATTCCAGCAATATCACGGCGGGGGACACCAGAAATGGGCTTCACACATTGTACCCATGTTGGGAATTGAACCTGGGTCTTCGGCGTGATGAGCGAACGCTTTAACCACTAGGCTACCCGACCGCCCCAGGAAAGCCTGAAGTGATGTAGGTCTTAGATATTTACCACTTTGGTGAAACCCACAAGCACGGGTCTGGTGCTGACAAACCTAGAAACATAATCAAGGTGAACTGGGATTCGAATCCACAATCATAGGTTTCTGGCATGCTCAAGGGAGGCAACTCTTCACAGCTAATTGTGGTGCTATAGACGACTGGGCCACCCGTGCCCCCTTTGCACTAGTAGATCAACAGGTTAATCTTGAAAATAACTACAGACAGGAATGTCCTCTTGTTTTAATGCAATTTGTAAACAGCACAGTCACTGTGAACAACAAATTTGGCAGCCATGAACAGTGAAGAGTAACAGAAGCACAGTAAGTCAAGTTCACCCAGGTCACAGTTGGGAACGAGAGATAGTCATTCTGATTGGTTTGATTGTTGTCATACACCGCTCTCAGCAAATATTCCATCTATATAAGGGCAGTCTGTAAATAATCGAGTCTGGACCAGAGAATCCAGTGATTGATATCATGAGCATCGATCCACGCAAATGGGATACGATAACATTCATCAACCATGTCAGCGACCCTGACCACCCAATGCTATGAGTCGCCTCTTATGACAAGCATTGTCACATTTTACAGCAAGCATGGGTTGCTGAAGACCTATTCTGGCACATTTCTTCACAGATCTAGTCATTCTGAAGTTATCCTGGTAAAATGGAGACAACCCTACTTTGGTAAAGCTCTTGGTACCAAATAAAATAAGGTCAGTAAACTACAGTTAGACAAACTCAATTTTTAAAAAAAAAACCCAGTAGTTATATCTACTAATTGGAACCCTTGAAAGCATCACATCTTTTCTCAAAAAGACAAATATTGTACTATCAAAATCCAAACTATTGTACATGATCCAATCAATAAGTATGGTGAATCACAAAGACACCTACGCAATGTCCATAGCTGTCACAGGGGCAATTAACAAGAGAAACTACACTGAATGATCAAAAAACACGTCTCTCCTTCCATTGTGAAAATTTTGTCCAAGTACATACAAGGAAAAGGGAAAGTACAGCTATCACCGAGACGTAACAGTTTTCTCATCCAATACAGGAAGGTCATTAAACCTGTTTCAATTCTAGTCAAGCTTAACATTTTCAGTTAGGTAAAGAATTCCTATTGTTGAACAGCACCAATAGTCAATGGTGAATTATCAACATAATAAACTGCCACGTGCCAAGGGGAAAAATTGGGGCCACTCTTGGCAATTTTTGAATTTGGACAGTTATGGCAATAACATGAAATGACATAAAATTGCCATTTCTCTAAAAACAATAGTTATTGTTCTATTTCAGAGGCTTATTACAAAATTATAAAACAAGTTTCTTGTCTACTTCAAGCAAGGATAACCAGCATCAAAGAATGATAGACAAGCATCTTTCTTCTGACTTAAGCCTATTACTGTCAATCAACGCAGCCTGTTGCCAGATAGGAGTTGCAGTAGTTGCTGTAGTTGCTACAGTTGTTGCAGTCGTTACAATCGCTCCAGCTCTGTTACATCATCTGTACATACAACTATTCTGTAATTGCAAAGAAGCCAAACTGCTACACTTTGTAAATTGTGCTGTCATACTTACAGAGCACTTACATTAATGGAGGCAGACATGACCCAGAAGGAATCTTGTTCTTTTCCAGCATGTTATTCAAACAATAACTATTCATCTAAAAAATAGCAAAAATCATTTCTGAAGAAAACTATTACCCTCCTCATGAAAGATTGTTGAAACAGGTGGATGTACAGGAGGGATTCAGTATAATGGCTAACTGTAGTGATTATTTTCCTGAAATAAGCACAACATCTGAGTGATCATGTTGGTGATGAAGCAGCGCTGTCGCAGAGATGCTGGGGGCGTTGCTGACACCCACCTGCCCTGTTTTCCTGTCTATATACTCCCTGATTTATATTCCTAGAACCGATGACAGGGGCAACAGCATGTACCACATCAAGTGGTCAGGCTGAGGCTAACTCTTACAAATCACTCTACTTAACACCTACACAAAAAACTATCTCCAAGATTGAGAATTTGATTTACAATCTGTTTAAAGGCAAAATTCATCCAACAAAACAAAATGTTGGAAAGGTGAGTAATAGGTACTACCAAGGACGGTAATTATCTGTGGAATCGTAAATACTTACCATAACATCTCGTATGACAAAGAATCAACTTCTACTTAAATCTGGTAATGGTTTTGACATTAGCACAATTTTTATGATCTTTTTTTAATGGGGCATCATCTATCAAATATTTATCAAACACTGATATTATTGTAAATGAACTGTGAGCTATACAACAGAAACAGGAATAAGAAGAACCCAGTTCAGGATTCTAACTGCCCACAAACAATGAGAAAAACCACAGGGTTCTGGTCAAGAAAGTAATCTTAGTGACATGACTATTGTAAGTCGCAAGTAAGAGATTTAAGTCAGTTTTAGCCCTAAGAAAACAGGGCCCAAGGACCTTTGTTACCACCGTAGTCTGGGTTAGAAAAATTATTTATATTTTCACCAGTCTGCAAACATGACAAGCCATAGAGATGCCATCTATCTAACAGTAAATCTGGTAGTCCACAAGAAAATGTCAGTGTCTTTCTGAATTTTATTGGTCTTTTATGTTAAAACCCTGGCAGCGTTAGAAATAGTCCTGTAGTCCTTGCCTTGCCATTTTTAAGGGTTTTACTACATGTCATCATTATAAGGACTAGTGGACTAAAAATGTTGCCTGGTTGTGAAAAAGATACTTTATTTCATGAATGGACATTGTGTTCTGTGTCCCCATGCACCCAGAACACCTGGAACCTTCTGTTTTGTGCAGTTAGCCAGGTACAAACAGGACACAAGTGCCAGATGCCTAGTTTGGTTTTGTTTGTTATTTAGGTCACAGTCAGCAATATTGCAGCTCTATGACGGTGGTCTGTACCAGAGTGGGTCTGGAACCAGAGGGGGGTCTGGAACCAGAGGCTGATGGCACCATCCATGTCCTACAATGACCTCCGAGCAGCCACGTCCCAGAGCCTGATCACATCCCCCTGATTTACGCTGCTCACAAGCTTGAGGTACCAGGGTCCTTTCCTGACCTAGGACCCCATGAGAAGAGTGTGGGTTCGAATCCCGGGCAGGACTCACACCCAAAAAGTACTAGAATCTGTACTCTTCTAAGAAAGTGTTATCCCAAATACTGTAAATCATGAAATTAATGCGTCTCCAAATGAATTCAAGCACTGGCCATAATAGCCAACAATGCGACTCAATATGAATGCATCACCCCCCCTCCTCTAAAGCATCAGTGGATTTATATCTAAAGAAAATTTCCTCTGTCAGGTTTACAGGAGAATCTTCACCTAAATCCAACCTTACATTAATCCAATCACACACCAAATAGCACTGCTTATTAGCACTGAGTAGAGTAATTCTGATAAAACAACACATCGGCCTTTGACGCAGTTGCAAAGAACAAAGACACCAAGTTACGTGGGTGGCGTTTGTCTGGACTTGCAGGTGTGATCAGTGATGACATAAGTGAGTAGAACTCTTGTCTTGACCCCAGCAGTGACAATTCACAGGATGTAATTAGTGTTTGAATGATATTGTTTATATACTTGTTACAAGTGCTGCTCAATAAACAGTGGTGTGGAATACATAGTTGTTTGTTTTCAGCGTATGTCTAAGTTGGTATTTCTGCTATCCAAAATGTCTTATTGTTAATATAAATGCAATGTTTAATAATGTGAGCAAAGGCCAATCGCATTTTTTGCATTTAATTCACGCTCGCGTTATTTTCAAGATTTACAGTATAACATTTGTTACATGTGGGATTCTGTCATCTGCCAAAAATAAGAAACGTATATAAAAACAAAATAATTCACAAATAGGATCTCACATTGGAAAGAAACAAAAATAGCATCATTGAGTTCCAAGGGAGATTACTTCTACTACACATCAGAAATAGTGCATGCCTTGCCCTTACCGCTTCGCGTCCTTCTCAGCAATAATCTGCCCAAGTTTGCGTGCTGTTTCCTCGGCCGCCATTTTGTCGGATTCAGCTTTTTTATGTCTACAATACGTGCAGGCGGGCGGCAACCAAACAACATGCAAAGAAATGAAACAAAAAAATCAACAACAACACAACGACAAAAGCTGGTGAAAGCTAATACAACATATAGAGAGTGTCCTCTGATAACAACAGCTGGGAACCATGGTAACAATACAGTGTTCGAAACTAAAGATGGCTCCTGGGTCTTTGAGGTGTGCTCCCCTGGTATTTGAATCTGGGGACCCTAAATCTTTACTTTTATCCCCGCCACGAAGTTGAAGAGGGATAGTCCATCCTTCCTTCCATCACATTTAGTTTCCTTAATAGAACTCAAAAACCATGAGAGATATCTAACCAACCTTGGCACATAGATAGGTCTAGTGGTTAACTGGTGCCTTTTGATAAGTTTGGGATTTTTTAAGTTTCCATGGCAACGACTTTGACTTTGACTGAAAATGACGGTAGTGCTCCTGTCCGGGGCAGATCTTGAAAATAGTACAACTAATAATTCTTTACTGAACATGGCACATAGATAGGTCCAGTGGTACCTGTTGCCTTTTTATTGTTTGGGAATTTAAAAAAAATGAAATTTCATAGCAACCGGACATGTCATATTGACGGGGGATATGAGTACTTCATGCTTGTTAACATTAGGGCTATGACATCTTGATTTCCATGTGTAATTTCGAACACTGCAAGAAATACTGCTCTGTTGATACATCTCTATAGAAAAACAACATATATTCATCCTCATAAAATACAAATATACATAAACATATACATATAGTTTTTAAAACCTTCTCTTGACATTAATAAAAAACAAATAAATAGTTGAGACAACACAGTCAACAATGATCTACAGGGTTGCTTATATAGTGCAATACTCCACACGATAAAGTATGATCACTATACTGAACACAATAAAGTACGCTCAGAGCGCTTCATTTACAACATTTATATCAGATTTTCTGCTGAAATTGCAAAAAGGTGTTTATTTTCAAGAATGTGATGCCATAAACTAGATATAGTCATCACAGAAACCATCTGGCCAGGAAACTCACCCAGAACCTGGATGGTATGGATGGATTTTACCAAAGACTATTTGTCCAATTATTCCAAATTTAGAATGTGACTAGAAGACACACACACAGAGGAGGGCAATGTTAGGACTGAAGGTGAAAAGAGAAATTTAATAATGTTCTAGATTAAACATGGTGCGTGAGCTCTACATGCCATAAATGGTAATGACTTCAAAATGCTGACTGTTAAATACCAGGCACACAACTGCACCATTGTGAGTTGTACAGAAAGCCTCAATAATAACACTCATTATCGTTATTTAATAAAATGACTGCTGCTTATTTACAAATTTCTCTTCATTTCTACAGGGAAAAGCTATTTTCAAGCATATTTACGAAGGTACTGTCTTCCCCGAAGTTGTTAAACTTGTTTTTACCGTCTGGAAACAAAAAACTAAAATCTGCCCACACATTCATTGGAACATTAGAATCCATAAACGTCATGTTTTTGTTATATTGTTAATTTCAAAATTACCATGGAATACATACAGGAGACAAACATGAACAATAAAATGTCAAAGAGGAAGCTCAACTTAGTGTTTGCAATACAAAACAACAAATGATATTCATAAATATGTTTGTTCAGTGAACTTTTCAAGTAAATCATCTTTCAAGAATTCAACTTCACCTATTCATGCCTAGACGACAGGTTTTATTTTATTTAGGTTGTCAAATATCAAATAACAGAAAAATGTTGCTGGTCATATAAACCATTAAGAGAAATAAGACGGTAGTCATGTGATACTGATTAGCAGGGATATAGCATTTCTTCCCGACTCCATGGACACTGATTTCCTTTATGATAGGCTCAATGATAGGGTATAGGTCATCGCGGAACATAAATACACTGTACTTTGTTTGTTATACAAGACTGTCATCACAGTTTTAATCTCGTTAACACGTCTTAAAAATAGTTTGTATATGTACTCATTTGTAATTAGGGATCACGCTGATGGGAAGGATCATCACATTAATGTGATACTCATGTATCCGATGTCCAAACACATAATTATCACAAAATAATAATCTCAATTTGAAACCTTAGCTTGTCTTTTAGATTCACCAGCTTGTACTGGACTGACACAGATTATAGTAGTACACAATGTCCTAATGGTCCGACTTGTAGGAGTGAGTGAGTGAGTGAGTATAGTTTAACGCCGCTTTTAGCAATATTCCAGCAATATCACGGCGGGGAACACCAGAAATGGGCTTCACACATTGTACCCATGTCGGGAATTGAACCCGAGTCTTCGGAGTGACAAGCGAACGCTTTAACCACTAAGCTACCCGACCGCCCCCCGACCTGTAGGAACATTAACACAATCTGATGGAACTACATGCACCCCTTACAGAAGTGTTATAGATTGTCTACAACAGACGTTGTAGCAGGATCACGAGGGGTACATGGGGTTTTATGTGTTAGGGAGGCGAGTGGTATAAAACCTAACTTGGGATGCATAAAACCCCACGTACCCTGAATCAAATTTATGTTACTGACATAACCGACATAGGAAACAGCTGTTTGTTTGAGCTTACGTTAACTCGTGCTATGTCACGTGACTTTCATTGACTCGGAAAAAGTGTGTGGTTCTTTGCTTTGAAGCGGGGTATAAGGGATTTATTTTGCCTCCCAGAAATCCACGTGCAGCCCGACTTGCTCGTGGTGGGGTATAAGGGATTTATTCACCTGCTGAGAAATTTATTTCCCTCCAAGGCGGGATACATCGTATTTTATCAAGATCACGTTGTAATATACAGCTACCAGCTGACTCGCGTCTCATCATGACATAGACATAGGATTAATGTACAAAGATAACAATATAATGACGAAGACGAAGGGATTAATCCTGTGTCTATGTCATTGACTTTGTCATTATGTTGTTATCTTAGTACATTCATCCCAACTTGTGTTGTATAAACATCATGATATATATAAAAACTCTATGCACTTACTAAGCATTCACCTGATGAAGGAGCAAGAAGTAGCTTTGAAACATCGTATAATGAATAAATGATTGGTTTACACTGACCAGTGAAACATGTATATATTGCCTGAAGTCCCAGGATATAATAATCAGGGTTACAAATTAACACTAGCCTGATAGCCTGGGGCTAGTACAAATTCCTGCGGGTGAGTAATTTCCCAATTTCCCCATCGTTTTAGCAATATTAGGGCATTTTATCTTTACCGGGGCTAGGAATGCTTTGGAGTTTAGTTCTAGTTCCTTGTCATATGAACTATTTATAGCCTGTTTGGTCAATACTGGTGTCCCTGACTAATTATTTGTTACTGTAAATGGTCAATTGAGACTTGAAAGGCAGATACATAAGGCTCATGGGGTCAAATGTACACTTGACTATGATTAGACGACATAGCCCAGAGGTTTACAAATGCAGTTAGTGTGAAAGTATGGCTCCACTTTAGCGTCTTCAGTGGGGAGGGGATCCACAGCCTCTGGGGTATACAAGACCACTGTCATGACACTCCTGGCCTAACTAATGCTAATAAGAACGAGCTCTCTCATGTACATGGAATCTGACAAACATGTCAAGGGCATCTGGAGGGCCATGCACCCTCACAGTCATTACCATCACCTTGGAGAATACAGGATCCGATTGGTCAGCCAAATCATGACGACTTGTACCTCCTAACGTCTTCAAGTGGCATTTAAACTTGGTATGATGAACAAGGAAGATAGTTCTATGGACAAACAACTTCATTATTACAATGAATGAGATGTTTTGGTGTAGATACTAACACCATGTAAGTGTTGTACAGAATTGTGAAGTTGTTGATGTTGATATTTATTTATGAGATAAACATACTGTGTTTTCAATGAAGAGCTAGGTTACCTGTAGATTGAAATGCTCTAAATTGAATTTGGAACCGAATGTGTAGTGTGATGTTTCAAATGTTAAATTTAGCACGGTTAAATCTACAGGTAACCTAGCTCCACATTGAAAAAACAGTATCTATATCTCCATTCTACCATGACTTAATAAAACACTTTGCTGTTAGCAAATAAACTGTGTGAAGCGGCATGGGTTGAGTCCAGTGTTTTGTTATCGATCTGAATAACAGAATCACCTAACAAAATATGGTGCTGTATATACTCAAGCTGTTTGTTTACACCGTAATACTTCACTCGAACATATGACAGGCATTGAAATCATTTAAGCATGGCAACTTGGTAAGCTAACATGAGGTGGGCATCCCTAAATAAAACAAAGCAAGCTTTGCAAGGCTTTCGCTCTACATCGCACGTCACCAATATGACGTCATATCGGTCATTGTGACGCAAAAGATATGACGTCACAGTCGTAGATAGAAAAGCGCCAAAATTCCAAGCTCTCTGTTGTCTCCAAAACGTAAATACATTCCCTTTGTAGATTTCTATCGTGTTTTCTGCACGAAATGTATTGTTACACATCCTTTGAATATTGTAGTAACCGCATCTGTGCATTTTGTAACCTGTAATTGTAGATATAATTATTAACATATGCCTACCCACAATGACTGAAAATAGTACTATTCTATGAATATTAGCTCACGCTGTGATGCGGCCGTCAAACCAGCTGTTTCAATCAGAGGGGGTTTATTGTGATTTAAGAGCCTCTGATTGACCAATCAGAATCGAGTAAACTTCAAATTCATGCTAGAATGTTGTTTAACGCAGCACTCAGCAATATTCAAGCTATATGATGGCAGTCTGTAAATAATCGATACTAGACCAGACAATCCAGTGGTTGAGACCATGAGCATCGATCTACGCATTTGGGATATGATGACATGCATCAACCAAGTCAGTGAGTCTGACAACCTGATCCCGCTAGTCGCCTTTTATGACAAGCATAGTTGCCTGTTACGGCAAAGCATGGTTTGCTGAAGACCTGTTGTAACCCGGATCTTCAAGGGTCCAGAAAAGTAGGAAGGTTATATAC